TATATGAAGATAGGCAAGACATTTTTTTAGAGTTTCATTTTTAATTTTATTTATACATAATGAAGTGAATTCATTGTCATAGATAGTAGACAAAAAATGATAGAATGTGTACATATAACATACAAGTTCTATTTCAATTAATCTATATAATATATATGTATGTATAACAGTTTGAAACATGACTGTAATTTAAAAGGTTTGAGATTTAAATTTTGAACACGTGTATTACGAAACATAACCTTAAATATGGAACATTGAATTTAACATTCAAAATATTATAAAATATTATGAATGATATAAAGTGATATGATAATAACAATGTTACAAAACGTATAAAGAAAAAGTGTTATTTATACAAATTGATAATAATTATGATGTAAAATTAATAATGTTATGATATAAAATAAAGGAATATTACTATAATATTATTTAACGAATAAATCCAATTTGTTTTTATTAAAATGAGTTTTAATGAAGTAAAAGAATTCATTGAAGAAGGAGATGTAGTCATTTTATACTTAGGACATAATAATATGCATTCTTTAGAAATAAAGGCAAAAATTCCCAATAAAAATGGTGAAATGGTTGACAATGTTTTTCAAACAAAATATGGAGCACTTAGAGTATTTTCTCTTGTGGGACACAAATATGGAACCATGAAAAGACTTTCGAAAGGATGGGCATATGTTTTACAACCAACATCAGAACTTTGGACATTGACAGTACCTCATAGGACACAAATTATATATAGCCCTGACATAAGTTTGATCATACACTTGTTGGATTTAGTACCAGGAAACATAGTTATTGAAACAGGTTCAACAACTATTAACTATTTCCTAAATACTTGTTTGATTTGATTCTAAAAGTACTAACTTATCAATATATTTTATATTGGAATTTTACTTATTAATGCATTTTGAAGTTACATTTAGTTCATATAATTATCACATTCTTAGTTTTACTATCTTATTGTTTTAGGTACTGGAAGCGGATCTCTTTCCCATGCTCTTATTCGTGCAATTCGCCCTCATGGTCATCTTTATACATTTGATTTTCACGAGCAGCGTGTAAATATTGCTCAAGCAGAGTTTGAAAGACATGGTCTTAGTAAATTTGTAACTTCAAATCATAAAGATGTTTGTATGGAAGGTTTTGGAAAAGAATTAGAAACAAAAGCAGATGCAATTTTTTTAGACCTGCCACATCCATGGTTAGCAATAGATCATGCAGTGGTTACTTTAAAGAAATCAGGTACAAATTGTTTTAGCAAAAAATTTTATTTTAGTTTTTCAGTTACTACGAACTTACATAAACAAATTAATAATAATTAACAAAGTAGGACAAAGAAATGATTTTTTGATTATTTTATGTTTAGGTGGAAAACTATGTTCTTTTTCTCCTTGTATTGAGCAGGTTCAACGTACTTGTGCAACATTAGTATCAAAAGGATTCATTGAGTTGAATACCTACGAATGTTTACAAAGAGAAGTACATGTACAATATAGAAACCTTCCTATACTGAATTTAGAATACCTGCAATATGAGGTATATATAATAGATGCAATATATAGAATTAATATATGTGTCGTAAAATGAAAGATTCTTTTTATTAAGTATTATTTTTCGTTAAATTCTTATAAAAAGATATGTGTATAAATATCATAACTCAAATGGCACAAGCTTAGTTTATGTTTTACACTTAGGATGATATTAAATATCAGTTTTGAAAATATTAATATGACCTTTTTTGGTAACTATGTTTTAGGATATACACGAAGATATGGCACAACAAAGTGAATATGAAAAAGAAGAGAGAAAGTTGCTTACTGCAATGCATGCTCGTTCTTTACCTGGTCATACAGGATTCATTACAATTGCTACATTACCTCCATTTTGTGTACGAAAGATAGAAATGGATTTAAAATAAAAAAATTGAGAATATTTGTAATTGTACTAAAATATCATAAAATTGCTATTTACTATATGTATAGTATTGAAATTTAATTTTCGTAGAACAACTTTAATACTGCTCAAAATAGCATCTGTGATAATAAAGTAAAGCATAAAATAACAAGTGATAATCAGATCTCAAGTTTTTCTTTATATGCACGATAATCTTATTAAAATTATTGAATATTTTATGTTTCTACTTTGCTGGGGTTCCATGATAAATAATCCACTCGGGTGGCTGCTTGATATTCCTTTACCAAATATTCAACGACTTCTCTAGAATTATCCAATTCGTCCAAATTATCTTCGAACATTTTTTCCTTACGAAATTGTTCTAAAAATGCTTCTCGCTTTCGTAATTTATCATACTGTTGTAAGGCACGGTCAAATAACTGAAATACATATGTATTACAGATTTAACAAGGCTTTTAATTGTTTGTAAACATAATTATCAAGTAATTTTGAAAGTACTAAATTTAATAATTAAAATAATTTAGTATCGTTTAATATAAAGATATTTTTGCAACTTACTGATGATATGTTAGTATGATTGGCTAACATTAAGCCAGATACTCTATGTGTACTTTGAATATATGGTGATTTTCTTGAAAGGGCTACTTGTATACTAGCAGGACCCCAAGGTATAAATTGCGCAAGTTTTCTTTCTCTGATTCTTTGTAAAGATTTATGAACTTGGGTTGGATCTACTTCACCCTAAAACATTGTATTTATAAGATTTTATTTTTATTTTTACCCTTAATATTTCTAATAAAACGTACTTGAATGATGTTTAAGATAGATATATAACAGTGAGATGCATTTCTATCTAATGCTGTAGAAACCATCATATTTTTCGGCTGAAGCAAACGTCTCATTACATCTAATACAGAAGTTTTTCTTACAGATGCTCCCTGTGAATTATATTTTATTAAATATGTATATTTTTAAAAAAATTTTAAATTTGGAATAAGAAACAAAGTTGCTCTATATATTTCATTAAATGAATACTTACTTCTTGATCTGTAGTAAGAGGAGTATAACCAGTCATGAGGAAATGTAATCGTGGTGTTGGAATTAATGGAGCAATTAAACCAACTAAGTCATTGTTCATATAAGAAGGATACCTAGTATTACATGTGAATTAGATAAATAAATCTTTATAATCTTTTACATTAATTTTTTAAGCAAAATACATATAAATGGTATATTACCGAAGTGTGGTGGTGCTAACAGACATTATTGTAGAAACAAGTTTATTAATTTGTGTAAAACTAGGATTTTGGATATGAAGTCTATCTGATGCTATTCTATTAAGTGCTGTGTTGTCGAGAACAACAACACAATCAGCACATTGTGTTAACCTTTTTAAAGTTAATAAGGAATTGTATGGCTGTACAACTACATCGCTGAAAAGAATTTTCTTTTTAATTTATTTATATTAAGAACGTACTATTGTTTTAATTATTATAATATAGTTTTATTGTATAATATATACCTTATCTCATCTTGGTTTGGGAAAACGCTATATGTTTCAAGTAATTTTTTTGGAAACCTATCTGCAAGGGATTCAAGCATGAATGAACCCATACCTGAACCAGTACCACCTGCGATAGAATGACACAAAACAAATCCCTGTAAATTAACATAATGATTACAATATTAATGATATAAATTCAAATAACATAACTACACATACCTCTAAACTATCACTTCCATCTGCTTCTCTGTCTAAAATATCAAATATTTCTTCTTGAAGTTTCTCTCCTTGATGATAACCAGATGCCCAATTATTACCAGCACCACCTCCATGTTTTGATAAATAAATATTCTCTGGATTATATAACTTGTGGAAAATAATATTTATAATAACAATGTATTTTAATAAAGAATATATTCATATAAATTCATGAAGTTAAACATACTTATAATATTTATACAAAATATAGTAATGAATACCTTTGAGTAGGGAGAATTCATAATTGTATGAATTACTCTGGGTTCCAAATCTAATAATACTGCTCTTGGTATATAATGTTCATCATCTGATTGATAAAAAAATACATCTTTTCTGTCTGTACCTTCTGTTGCATAATCTTTTAAAATACCTTCTGAACTAATACCATGTTCAGCGCATAATTTTTTCCAAAACTCAAATCCAACTAAAAATTGAAATTCTTTTATTATTTATTTTTTTGCTAATGTAGTATCGTAATACATCTTATGAATATATCTTCAAAACAGAAATTTAGTTTCCTACTTTCGTGGTACATAAATTTTACAATCTTTATATTTCTAGTAGAAAACTAAAGATAAACAAAGATTGTTTTAATAAAATATTAATGAAATAATAAATTATACGTAATTAAAAGTAAGTTATTTGGTTATATTTGCAAATTAATAAGAAGAAAAACAGAGAACAACATTTTAACAAAGATGTAAATTGCATGGTTACTTACTTTGATTACCACATTGGCCAAGTTGTAAAGTTATCATTTCGCAAGGCATCTTGAATTTCTTATTTAATTCTTATTGAGAATTCAATTCTTTATTATAATTACTTCACTTTGATTTTACGCGCGATGAACCTTCAATTTGATTGATACTTCACATATTACAAATATAACTATTCTTTGCGAATATTACAATAATATATATATATATGATTATGTTATTCGTACAGTTACGAAATATTTTTGATTACTGATAATAGAATTATGTACACAGAATAATATTATTCGAATCTGAATGTTATTGCTGTTGTATTCAGTTATAGATGGTGCTGCGTTAAATGTCAATGTTTTTCGCCGTTTGAAACTTCAATCAGTTTAAAAATGCAAGGAAAATTTTCATCATGAATGAATTTATATTATAATGAAACAATACAGACAGAAAAACATTTTTTAATTATTTTGGATAGTTTTACATTTTAAAGAAATAATGGTTTTTATATTTAAAGAGGTTGGACGCAATAAATAGATCTTACATTACACTAATCAAAATTGTATTATTATTTTTATTTAAGTTATTAAGATAATTGTAAATTTTATGATGTGTTATATAACAAAACAATTACATGAAAGTTAATGTTACTTTGAAAATTACATTTACATTGGACGATGAAGAAACTATACATATAGTCATTTAAAGCAGTGAATATATGCGCATATTTTTTGTGTTCAATCTAATCCTTATGTCATGTTTGTAATAACGAGTGTGCTTCCAAACTATTTGATTAAGATCGTTTTATCAGACGAATGTTAAACTTATCCTGATTCTACATATTTTTATGTAAAACACGGTATAATAAAGTGTGACATTGTCATTATGTCATCATTATTTAATAAAATTATTTAACCTATAATACTTGATATGTCATCATTTCAATAATTTGAAGTTGAACATAAAGAACAAAGGTAATTTCAAAGTATGATATAAAAATTATTGTTTTTTCATTATTGCTTAATATATTAAAAGTAATTCTTTTATTTATTTTTTAAGTATCTTGCATAATTTAGGGAAACATTAATAAAATTTAAATATTTTAGTTATGCATTGATCTGTACATATTTTGAACCATAAAAAATAACATAAATTATGTGAAAATGTCGTTTTAAATTCTTAATAATAAAGATTTCCTTTTGAATGATGGTGTTGTCATTTAACAGATGTCTGCGAGTAAGTGTCGGAATTGTGGATCTACAAATATTGAAACAGATCCAGCCCGAGGAGATGCTGTCTGTACAGATTGTGGTTTTGTGTTGGAAGACCAACTTATTGTTAGTGAAACAGCTTTTAAAGAGACACCATCTGGGAATATGATGGTACTTGGTCAATTTGTTGCTAATGACAGCACTGGTGGAGCTACAGGATTTGGAGCAAGTACGTTATTTTATAATAAATATGACATTAAATATTCTTTATTTTCTTATTACTAGTTTCCATCATTTGTCTAATTTAATCATTTTTATGTTCATAGCATATCATGTCAATGGAAAAGAATCCAGAGGAATAACATTGCAAAATGCAAGAAAAGGAATAACTCATTTATGTATGCAATTACAGTATGTAAATTTTTTCTATAATACAATCAGTAAATTATTAATTTCATTTATTATATTTTATAAAATATTTAATATGTATTTTATTTTGTTACTAGATTAAATCAGCATTGTATTGATACATCTATGAATTTTTATAAAATGGCATTGAATCGTCAGTTAACTCGTGGGAGGAAGCAAGCACATAATCATGCAGCTTGTGTTTATATTACTTGTCGTACAGAAGGCACTGCACGTATCCTTTATATTTTCATAAAATAAAAAACAATATTTTTCTTATAATTATCATTCTTGAATTTATTTTTGCTACTTTATATCTATTTCATAAATACAAAGTATTTGGTTTAGTGTGAAATCTTATTGAAATATAAGTTTTTTTTATGATATAAGTTGGAAGCTATCCCAAACTGAAAAGCAAGAATTATAATAAATAATAATATAAGTTTCGTTTGTTATGTATGACAAGTTTTCAGAAGTAAAGTATGTACTTAACCAATTATTTAGATATGCTTATTGACATCAGTGATGTGCTGCAAATTTGTGTTCATGAATTGGGACGCACATATCTGAGGTTTACGCAAGCTCTTTGCATCAATATACCTTCAGTAGGTAAGTATTTTATAAATTTGCATGTTATAAATTTTTACTTCTAATTTATGCCTGTATTCAATTTATTTGCTCTCATTTAAGAACAAATTAACTAATTTTTAAGTATCATTAAATGTTACATACATAAATGTTAAATGATACATACATAATCTTTAACTTTTAATAAAATAAAATAGTTCGATTTGCAATTAATTAGATTGACATGTTTTATTCTTCAGATATAAATTTTCTTATTTTGTAAGGTACTTTTATCAGAAACAACAGTTATTGTTACATTTATTACCGCTTGAAAAAGATTATAAACAGTGATTTCTTACATACATTATCGTTGTATTAAATGTTAAATTTGAAAAAATACAAAATTAAATACTTGATTAACTATAGTAAAAATTTGTTCATATTTGAAATATCTCTAAGTATTAAATATAACATTTGTGTCTTCACATACACTCAGTTTTTTAATAGTAAAATATAATAGTGAAATATTAATTCAAAATTTAGCCCTATTGTATACGAGATGTACAAAAAAATTGAGGACACTGCTAAAGCTGAGGATAGAAACCTTAGAAGCATGTAGTATTCATCATAACAAGCAAAAAGCTTTTAATAATCATGGGTCAAAAACCGTTAATTTCAGAGATGTTTAATTACGAAATGTTTAGTATATAATAAACCAGCTGCTTTGTTGCCAAAAGATATTAACTTCACTTCTGTAAAATCCAAAACCAAGAGATAAGGAAAATGCCGAGATTTTTCAACGTATTTCTGTAAGAAAATATGCTGAAGTGTATGCTGAACTGAACAGGGGTCATATTGAGCATATGTTGTAAGGGTAATATCTTATTGACAAAAAACTTTGTAACTCTGAAATTAATAGTTTTTGAACCTATGTTTATTAAAAATTTTTGCTGAGTACTACATGCTCCTAAAGTTGTATTCAACTTTTTTGTTCATTCCGTATATTACTAAATAATCAAGAAATCTGAAGTACTTTAATACATAAAAGTATAATATAAGATGACTATTCTTTAAATTTATTGCTTGTGTAGACATTTTCAATTACACTTTTCATATTTTATATTGTAATGTTAAATAATTTTTTGATTTTAAATAATATCAAATATCTAAAATGGAGAATACAAAACTAAATCTCTTATTTATTAGTAATAAATTAATCTAACTTAAATCCAAACTAAAATTGTTCACTGAATATTTTACTATTGTTTTAGAAGTTAATGATATAATTAATATCTTTTTTAATGCCAATCTTAAGACAGAGATGCTCTCAAAATTTACTTGTTCCTTTTTTTTGGCACCAGCCAGTCATACTAGTAGTAGGAAGGCATTATTTTGTACATTTTATTATTATTGGTATTGCAATCCATTGTACTTTTTTAAATAGTATTTACTATTTTGCAATGTAGACTTTGGCGCCAGATTCTATAGCATTACTGGATACAATATAATGTTTATTATAAAAAAAAATAAGAGAGTTATATATAATTAGTATATACTTTATCTTGAAACTATACTAGAATATTTTTCTACTTTTTACATAGATTATAGTAAATTATAAAATTATATAAACATGATTAAAATATCGTAGAATGTACATATAAAGTATTGTTGTGATTTTTATATTGTGTACAAAAACGCTATTTGTTTTAAGGATCTACATTTAAACATTCCTTCTAATAATTTAGCAATCACCTTTTGCAGTACATAATTTCATACATTAAAGAATCAATAAATCTAAGAAAGTAAAATGTATCTCCTCTCTTATGAATATGATACAAAAAACAAAATAATAATGTTACAATAAAAAACAAATATTATTTTGTATAGGCAGTTTCACTTATAATACTATTCTAAAATTGCTTATGACGCTTTCCAATAAGTATAGTATATTCTAAAATACATGATATATGAATGCAACATTAAATCAATATTACTTATGTTAGCAAAAACAGTATATTCTCCTCCATAAAACGATAATGTACATTGTTCATTTAAGATTCTAAAGCATTTCAATTAAAAAAAATTATAGTTTATATATTAGTATTTTTTAATTGAGAATTAATTAGTCGAGATAACAATATAGTTTCCAAAATTAATTGATTTTTGCTTATTTCTTTATATTATTATTTAACAATAATTTTTAAGATAGTAAATCCTTTTAAATAGCACTTATTAACTTTCTCAATTGTTTTCTATCAATTTAAAGATCGTTTTTACATCTTCTTCTTCTTCTTCAAATCTAACAAGTATTTTATATACTTCACTTGTTGCATATTTACAAATAATGTTTCAAGTATTTAAGTTATATAAGAAATGTAATATTTTTTCGGAAGAAACAAAGCATAAATATGAATACATCAAAAATTGTAGTAGACACACTCCTCTGCAAAAATGTAAATTTAAAATTTAATTTTAATTTAAACATAGTAAACTATTTATTTCCTTAGTTTAATACTGCCTTATTATTTGATATAAAAGCAAATATTAGTTTTTATATATATATTTGACTTTTATTTTACGAAAATAAATTTTTATGCAATTGTTCATATTTATATTCAATGTATCATAAAACAGAAAGTTTGTTTTCAAGTCTTTGAATTAAAACAAAGACATTTCTTTTTATATTTGATTAATAGAGTGATAATAATAGAAATAAAATTATAATTTCTTCTGCAAACTATTCATTATGATTTTATACTAAATTCAAAATATTTAATATTTTTTAGAGTGCATCTATTACATAATATTCGTCATCGATTTAAAAATAGTACTCAAAACAATTATACAAAATCTTGAACAATGTCAAGGTACATATTTTTAGAGACCAGCAGTTAAACCATTATTTCTGTGGTAAATTTCCATCAGTCATCTACTGGTGGTCCATAAAAAATTAATTCGGGTATTTGCCCTCCTTGTACACCAGTACCATTCGTACTTTCCGAACTGCATTGAAATTGAAAATTTACATTACCAACTGTTATCTCTGACATTCCTTCTTGACCGAAGTAACTTAGCTCGCCTCCGTCTAATATTACACTAGCTGTATAAAAGCATTCTGGCTCGATTTGGATTGGATTCTCAAAATATACATGAAACGTACTGCTCGAGCCATCCGAAAAAAATTTCGTACTATTTTCAGATAAAACACATCCCAATCTTTTAAGTTCGATTCTAACATTATAATCTGCAGCACCAGATGAACTTCCATAAAGTCCGAAACCAACAACAAATATTCTTTTATCAACGCTAAATTGAATTGAGTCACATCTGCCTCTGTAACGCCACTGATTTGATCTATATGCACATGACTGAAACCTATGACACACCTGCAAATAAAGCATAAGAAATTTTAGTTCTACTACTCTATATGTAACTTATGCAAGCTTACTAACTTATGAATAGTTGTTTTAAATTAAACCTAAATAAATGATTTTGTTTTATAGTACTTACTTGAGTTTTTAAACCTTGTCGAGGTTTGGTAGGGAAACAAAGTTGAGGTTTATTACTAGCAGTGAAATGCAAAAAAACATCAATTGTTTCTTGTTGTGTTAAGATTCCAGTCTGAGCAGCACTATTGGCAAATTCTTCCAAATTCATAGCAGGAAGTCTAATTAAATATAAAGCAGATCCTAGAATGAAAAAAGCACTAGTGATACTAGTTTTTGATTTAAAATTTTAATTTAGATATTTACCTAATAGTCGTCTTTGATTGGCTGATGAAGGTTCAAGTTCTTGCCGAATACATTCTGCAGTAGCCCATCTTAATGCAGCATCCCATATATGTATCTCTTTACAGTTTAATGTTTCTCGAGAAAGCACTGATTCAAGAGTGTGAATATCAATATCCACAAAACCATCTGATCTTAGCGCCATTTCTGCCTGTATTACATTCAATTTTATATATATAAATTTAGTAAAAATATATATTATCTTTTGACGAAAATTTAATTATTAAAAAAAAGGATATATTTCTTAGGAATATATTTTCATTGATTTTATATATATTGTATGAATTACTTAGAAGCCAAAGTGATCAACTCTATTTCCTGAAAAATACTTAATTTTAATATTAGAATATATTAGAGTTTAATTTTCTAAAAATTAGATGATTACCCATGATGTTATTAATCAGTTTGGCCTCTGCATGATGCATATGTACATATATTAATCTTATATTCAAAACATCCAAAAAGTATATTTGTGTTCTTTCTAAATTTAAAAGTATTTTTAAAATTCTAAGAATTCTTTAAAAAATATTAAGAATATTATCAAATACAATTAGTATATGTAAAATATAAGAAAATAAAAATATAAATATAAAACTAATTTCAATGATTTAGTTAAAACTTAATCCTTTGTTAACATTGATATTCGCTATATTTACTAAAAAAAAATGTTTATTATATGATACAGGATACAATTTAAAAGTAGAAATAAATTTTTAAAAATCTGTTCTAAATGTATATATTAAACATGATATTTTTATGAGGAAACTAATTTTATAATTTTTTGAAAAACATTTAATTTTATGATGGTATAATTTATTACAATTAAATATTTTATGAATATTAGTGTAATAGTCATATATGTACATACAAAATTAATTAAATAAGTATGATATAGTATATAATATTACAAAAAAATGTTGTTGAAGTATTTTATTTTCATACTTTATAAAATTGCTTATTATGTATTTAATCTTTCGTAATATTATCTTTAATAATTAATGAATGGAATTTTTATAATGAAGTTTAGACGAATTTTGATTAAAAACGTATTTTAAAAATTAAAAAAATATATTTTTATAGCTTTTTGTCAATCAGTCTTTCAAATATTCACTCAACTTAATTAAAAAAGGGATAAGCAATTCTATATATCTTGAACTTTTTAATATACAGAATAAATGTTATAAATTCTTTAAGTAATTATTGGACTAATATTACATGTTATTTTGGAAAAATCATTATAATCATTTCTGTTGTGTTCATATTCTTCTATAAAGTTATCTTCATAAGTTACATTTTGTGTTACTTCAATTTCTAACTTATTATCTGTAAAATAAGGTTCACTTCGAGTTCGAAATAATGAAAACGATAATTTTTTGTTGTTAAGTTTAGAACAACAATTGTTCTCAGATAAACTGAAGCAATGAGATACTACTGATAGTCCATTTTTTATATTTCCATAATTATTAGTTTTTGTAGTTTTCTGAATAAATTGCTGTTCAGAATCATGTAGTTTGTTATTCAAACAGTTTGAAGAGTTTGATTTACTCTTTAACGTTACATTTAAATTATCATTAAAAGTAAGAGACTTCAACATTCTTTTATTTAAACTTACTTGAGCATCTATAACTTCCCAGCAACGTTGCATAAGATCTGGTTCTTCGAACAAACGAGATTGACTTAAAAGTAAACATGCATTCTTTGCTGTTAAACTTGTTTCTAAATAATTAACACATGCTCTTGCTAAATGGGGGACTATATATTTTTTAGCAACATAGAGTGTTGCTAACACTGTGTCAGCTTCTAATTGTACTTCATCACAGTACATATACCTGAGAAAAGATAATAAAATAAGTAGCGAATAATTTAAGATGTCTTCATCAAGTTTAAAACATTTACCTTAATAGAGCAAGAAAAGCAGCAGGCTCTACATCTGGTACTTCTATATCTCTTTTATTCTCTGCTAGACCACCATAAAACATGGCATAAAATACAGAACTACCAGTGGCCAATACATACTTATGTGCTGGTATAGTTTGTATGTGACCTACATTGAGCAATCAAATATATTATTATTTAATATATTTAATACATTAAATTATTTTTACTGCTTATCCAATTACTAAATGACTTTATGATTAATTACCTGGGCTGCCAACAATAAATATAATATCAGCCATTAAATGATTGTTAAACATGGCAGCATTTCGTTCTCGAACTGTAGGTTTTGTTGCCTGCCAATTAGGATCTTGTGTACAGTCTTCAGGTGATGACAAATTCAATTGAGTTAAAGGAGATGATAAGGAAGACAAAGGTGAAGCAGGTGCACTAAGTGGTTGGTTTATCGTTCCTTCACGTTGTAATACAATGGAAGAAGATAATGGGCTTACAGTAGGTGGTGAATCTGATACAGGAATCAGTGATTCCGCTAAAACATATATAATATCAATATATTAGGTTTAAGTTAGGTGAAATTCATTTCTATTTAGTATTTGTTTTTGTTTTTTTTGTTATCAAACAACATATTTAGGCAAAATTATTATCTTATTATGTTAAAACAATTTAGCATACAGAACATTATATAAAAAAATTTAATTGATTTAACGCAATAAAATATGTTTAAATATTACTCTTTTATTTATTATTTTTAGTATCATTACATAAAGATTAAACTTAAAAATGGATGAGTAAATATGATATAAAAATTAATTATAACAAACATTAAGCATATGTCAAAGTAACAATAGTAAAGTTACAAAAAGTAACACTATTCTATATTAATTTTCATTAATTCATTAATAGTACAATTAATAGATGATACCTTTATATAAATATATTAATTATATTAAGCTAGAATATATCGAAAGCTGATATTACCGATTGTATAACTTCATCAACAAAAAATATTTTTCATTACTAATAGAGGTTATGCAAGACAATAACTGTAATAAGGTTTAAGATCTCTAAATTAGATTATTCTTCCTAAAATTAATCAAAGTTTGTTTTCGTACATCCATTATTTTTATTTACCATCGCTTTAAGATGTTGTATAATCTATCACCTTTTAGCGACGGTTCAATTAAAACGAATGCAAAGCAAAATCATCAAAATTTTACCGTTAGTGTACATTATTCCACAGTTTTGAGAACAATTTTAAATAGAATCTTTTACTTCTATCATAACATAGTAAATATTTGCTACCACTGTAGCTTTAAAGACCACCTCTCATATTCAAACATTACGAACACAAATATACACTTATGTATATGTAATGTACACTATACACTTAAGGAAAATTCATCTATAGGTATAAAGACTTCGAATGATATTAAGTTCGGTTTGTTCCGGTTTTATTCGTATAATTTCGCAGAAATTTTGTGGTGCACGTGATACGTATGTCAAATAAATTCATATGAATGTATGTATACATACATATTATAGGGTTAATATACTTTTTGCATGATTTCAAATTTTTATTAAATTGGATGTATCTTTAGCTATTACAAAAAAATTTATTTATTATATAAAATGGTCAGAAGACTTTATAACAATATAATAATAGAAATTATTTAAAACAGAAAAGTCACATTTAGTTCGAAATTTTCAAAATATATATTTGGTTTAAAATAAAACATAGTTAATAAGTATTATAACGCTATTATCGATTTATGAATTTTTCTAATTTTAATTTTTATGTTTTAATATCATATGAATAATACGAAAAATATGATCAAAATTAAACGTTAAAAATATGTACAATATTATTCTATTTGATTCAACATTCTCTGATTCATCGAACATTTATCGTAATAGACATATTTTATGAAAAATCATAAGATTTAAATGAAATTACGTAAAATAGTTTAACACTATAATATTGTATATTTGAAGTCTGTACAGTTTCATGTTATATACTACTTTGTAAAATATATTTACTATTTCATCTATCATTCATAATTCTTAATTGATCGAAATTATTTTTACAGAATACATTTCCAAATAAAATATTTCAAAGCTCAAGGTAAATTAATTAAAATGTTGTTAAAATATCATTATGTGTTTCAAAGTGAAAATAAACATTATGGAAATGATACAACATTACTCGGATATAGCTAAACAAAATAAAAACAATTTCATTTATTCTTATTTCTATAATTCACTTTAATAAATGCATGGACAGTATATATTTAAGGTGCATATTATGTTTATTTATATCTGTAATAATCTCTCACCGTTTAACCATGGATTAGTCTGTTTGACTGTGACGTTGTCCTGGAACCGTTTCATTGGCTTCGTTGATATTTTCGAGTAAAGATTTGACATCGCCATTTTCACTTTTTAAACTTGATTGCCCGTTTTCTCTTCAATTGCAACACGGAACGATTTTGGATTTCATTTACATGGGCGCCATGTCAGACGGGCGCTGGTTAGATAGTTCCGTACGTCGGTCGATAGGAAACTTAGGGCACGCGCGTCCATATATCTGGTGTTTCTCAAAAACGCAATCTTTAATCTGCGCAGTATGTGTATACAGGGTGTTCGCTCTAACGTGTGATTTTTCATCCGTTTTGCGATTATGTACTGTCTTGCTAACTGGCCATCACCATCCTCACCATTTCTTGAAAGTATCTTTATGGAGCGTAACTCCGGTGTTACGTACATATATTTCTCTCATTTTGCTTACCGGAGTTTTGACATTCAATTGTCTTGTATAAAACATCTGGAATTGAGTACCAAGTATTATTATCTTGCTCTATATTTTTATCTATTTCATATTCAAACATAATTATTGATGGAGTAAACTCCTCCCTTGTTAATTGGTCAGATTCAGTATCGAGTCGTGACCAGTTACCAAGATAGTATTGTAATAAAAAATGTTAACTATAATCTATTTATAATATGAGTGAACAAGATATAAGGATGATGAACATTAGAATAAATCCCTTTTTTAGTGTAATATGATCAACAAGATCAATATGATCGAGACTAAAGAGAAAAAAAATACATTTTATTTTAATACGTTGTCCATTCAGCATAATATATTGTTCATTTAACAGAAATAAAGTTTATTTAATAATCTTTTTATTATATTGCTGCGAACAATTTGAAAATTGTGCGAAACATTAAAGTGAACACCATCTATATTTCGCAAGTAATGTCCACTTACAAACAATAGCGTACAATACAAACGTAATCTAATGGAATAAATATTAAATAGAAACTTCAGGAATTATATAATTACTATATATTTTATTCTTTTTGTTATTTTACCTTCTACGTTTAAGTAAGAATAACATAAAAGTGTATTATATATTATAAAAAGGAAATTCTTGGCAATTATGTTAATATAATATACTATATTAATAAACTAATAAAATGAATTTGTTAATATTTGATGAATTTTTAAATTTAACACATTGTTGACATTATTTTTCTTTATAGATCCATGTTTATATATTATGAGATTTGCAAATAAGCTGGAGTTTGGTGAAAAAACTCACGAAGTATCAATGACGGCTTTACGAGTAGTTCAAAGAATGAAAAGGGATAGTATTCACAGCGGACGTAGACCATCAGGATTATGTGGCGCTGGTATTAGAAAAGTTTCATTTATTCGTAATCTACATTTTATTTAATTTTAATATAAATACTTAAGTTTTAATTAATACATTTTAAAATTTTACATATGATGCTTGCATTAACGTTTGTTACAAATTCACCTAAACACTTAAAGAGTCAAAATTATATTATTAAATATAATTAAAAAAAGAGATCATTGAAATTAAATCGATATTAAACAAATATACGATATTTCTTTTACATTAGCTTTGCTGATGGCTGCTCGATTACATGAGTTTAATAGATCACCGGCGGATATTATTAAAATCGTAAAAGTGCATGAATCGACATTACGCAAGAGGTAAAAAGTATTCAAATAAGTTTTTTTCTAAATAAACGTAAAAATTGATAACAAATTTTTATACATTAACATCTATAGGCTTATAGAATTTGGTGATACACCTTCAAGCGCATTGACTCTTGAAGAATTCATGACGGTCGACTTGGAAGAAGAACAGGATCCTCCAGCTTTTAAAGCAGCACGAAAAAAAGACAGAGAACGATTACAAAGGGTATAGAATATTTTTATTTTATAATATATCGTATATCTACATAATTAATTATGCATAATTTGTTATTTTTTCTTAGTTAAACATAGATACAGAAATAAATGAATTGCAAGCAGAAATTGACAAACAATTAGAAGAACACAGATTAGGAAAAATGAAAAAGCGCAAAGATGGTAATTGTAATAATAATTAAAAAATTGATGAATTATTTTATTGTTTTTATTATAGAAAATAAAACCATAAAATATTAATTTCCAGCTGCTTCTATAGAAAGAGCAGATACTGATAGATTTATAAGGGAAAGTAATTTAGATGTAATTAAACATTACGTTGGAAACGATGTAGATGACCCTGACAATGATTTTCAAGATTCCGAAATGAATAACATAAACGATCGATTAATTACTGGATTAGGTAAGGATTTAAACAGTTTCTTAAATTCTAATATAATGTTATATTATAAAATTTATAATACGCCTAATTGTTTAAAGGACCTAATATTGCTTCTATGGGATTGATATCAATAAATGATCGAGAAAATGAAACAAAAGAGTCAGTAAACACAAATTTTGAAAATGTAAGTAAAATTAATTTTAATCAAAACAATTGTTATTCATTAATGTTTTCTATTTAAGGATACTGGAGAGATTGATGTTGCTGATTTAGATGACGAAGAGTTAGATAGTTATATTATGTCAGAAAAAGAAGCACAATTCAAACACAATTTATGGAATAAAGTGAATGCTGAATATTTAAATCAACAAAAAGAAAAAGAAGAAAGACGGCAGAAAGAAAAAGAAGAAGGTAAACCTGAGAAGAAACGACGGCGGACTACTAAACGTAATAAAAATCAAGTACCTGCAAATACTGCAGGTAATGTTATAATATTTACTACAAATTCTATAATATTAATTTTTTATCAATTGTTATAGTTTATTATGTTCATTTTATAATTTTATTAGGCGAAGCAATTGAAAAAATGTTACAAGAGAAGAAAATATCATCGAAAATTAATTATGAAGTACTGAAAAGTTTAAACGTTAGTTTAAATAATTCAACCAAAGAACAACAAAAGGTCGAAGAGCCAGTTCAATCACCAAAGAAAGAAATGAACACTTCGTCAAGTTCTAATAAAATGTTAGTATATAATATTTTTTGTTATTTTTTTATTCTGTACAAGAAACGTATCTCTACAATAAATATCAATGTTTATATTTATAGATCTAATATTTCTAACTCATCAAGAATCAAAGATAAGCCAATCACACCAGTAGTAAAGAAACCTCATGTAGTTAAACCTCAAATACAAAAAACAAAAAAAGAAGTGCAAATGCCAGTTGAAATAGAAACTAATACAACTGAATCTATACTTCCAAAAATGGATACCTCTTGTGATATGGGTAAGTTATTAATTTCCACTCATGTAAAATTTCTTTTGCTTGATTAAATTAATTATACTTCTCTTTACAAAATAGATGAGACCGATGATTATGTTGATGAGGATGTTGAAGCTGATCCCACAGAAATGACTGTTGGAGAAATGCTTGGACATCATGGGTCAGAAGATGAGAATGACTTTGGATATGGATATGATGAAGAAGATTATTAATTATATTTAGTGAACTAATATTAAGATCCTAAGTATGCGTTTAACATTTATAAAATGATTATTTATTTATTAGAATACCATTTACCAGGATTTAGTAAAAAGACTGCAGTATATAATGTAAAATAAAGCATTTACTATTCTTAATTTATAATTCTGTGAATTTTTTATTTAATTGCAAAAGCATCATAATAATAAAATGATATAGCGGTTAGGGTCCAACCTCTTGAAGGCGTCATTCAAACGCATGCGATATAGAAAAATTAACTGCGTCGCGCTATATTTATGAAACAAAATTTATCTCTATAATACCTTTTTCTATGTTACTTAATACTTTGGAGTTAATCGTAAATTAAACTTTGCAGTCTACTTCTTAGTATACTTATACTTAATATTTTCCTTACACGCATATTGGAGATACATAGTATCAGAGTAATAATAAACAAGATAGGTTAAAATCTCTCCTTGCGAGTAGGGAAAAGATCATCATATTACATAAACTATAATATTAGATATTGTATATAACATAAAATATTCAATTAATACCGCAAAATATAATAATGAAAATCTTGTTGGTAGATGGCGTTAATAATACGATGTATTGAAAGACGTGGTGGTGGTCTATCATTTATTATATTATAGTATTGTTCAATTCGAAACAAGCATATGACGTAGTAATTCAAAGTGTTGTGGTAGAAGTATAGGAGTATGATTTTGAATTATTTTTAATTTTCGTATTAGGCGGTTTAGTAAAGGCTTATAAACGTAATTTATCAAATATCTATACTTGTATTAAACAGTCACAGAATACATTCTCATATTTGGATTATGTAAAAAATCAGATTTATGTAGTGATTTAAGATTTATATACTGTTTCATAAAATATTTATCATTTAATATATGATCAGTGGAATAATTTTATTTATTTTTTCATAATTAACAATTGTTTTGATTATAGTTGGAAATGGTCTTATCCACATTAAATAATAATATATGTATACATTCAAGTATAATATTGAGAAAGAACATGACAAAATACATATGATAAGTCTAATTTATAATTTCTTTATTTATTTTAGAACTTAAGCTGTTGAATATAGATTAAATATGGCGAGCACTTCTTCTGACCAAAGTACAATTGCCAAAAAAACATGGGAAATGTCAAATAATATTGAAACAATTAGCACTGTTGATGAGATTTATAGGTATGATCGTAAAGAACAACAAGATATATTAGCTGCAAAACCATGGGAAAAGGAGTATGTTATTTTTTAAATATTTGTATCAATATTAAGATATATTTTTATGATCTCATTTCCAACCATACATTCTTGATCATATTTCAGTCCTCATTTTTTCAAAGATATAAAAATCTCTGCATTAGCATTATTAAAAATGGTTATGCATGCTCGTTCTGGAGGAACTTTAGAAGTAATGGGTCTTTTGCTTGGAAAAGTTGCAGCAAATACAATGATCGTTATGGATTCTTTTGCATTACCTGTAGAAGGCACAGAAACAAGAGTTAACGCTCAGGCACAGGCTTATGAGTATATGACAGCATATATAGAAGCAGCTAAACAAGTACTTAATTATTACAGATATAACATGTAACAACTGCCTATAATGTAATATTTATTTTTCAATTTATTAAGGTTGGAAGACAAGAAAATGCTATTGGATGGTACCATAGTCATCCTGGCTATGGATGTTGGTTATCGGGTATTGATGTATCTACACAAATGCTCAATCAAAATTTTCAGGAACCATTTGTTGCTATTGTAATTGATCCTGTGAGAACAATATCTGCTGGCAAAGTTTGTTTGGGTGCATTTAGAACATATCCAAAGGTGGTATATATTTGCTAATATTTATAATACATAAAAGAAATAATAAATAATAACAAAAAATTTGATATAAAAAGGGATATAAACCAGCAAATGAAGAACCATCTGAGTATCAAACAATACCATTAAATAAGATTGAAGATTTTGGAGTTCACTGCAAACAATATTATTCTTTAGAAGTTTCTTATTTTAAATCATCATTAGATAGAAGATTACTAGATTCTTTGTGGAATAAATACTGGGTGAATACTTTAAGTTCCTCTAGTCTTCTAACAAATGCTGATTACACTACTGGGCAAATATTTGATTTATCGGATAAACTTGAGCAGTCAGAGGTTGCACTTGGAAGAGGATTTATTTTGGGTGGAACGGATCCTCATGATCGCAGTACTGTAGAAAAATTAATGAAAGCAACAAGAGACAGTTGTAAGACTACTATTGAAATTATTCATGGATTAATGGCACAAATAATCAAGGACAGATTATTTAATCAAGTTGGGTGTAATCCTATTGAAACTCAGCAACAGTAAAACGTATATATAACGTGTAATAATTACAATAAAAAGAATGATTATAATCTACGTAAGTTGTAATTAATATAAGGAACATTTTTTACTAAAATATAATAAAAAAATAAGTTTGTCTTTATATTTTTACTATGATCATAATTATCTTAATATACATATTGAAATTATTCTTGCATAAGATAATCAACAAAAATTGTAATCTAAAAATAAGTGAAATAACTAAATAACTATTAATACAATATTTTTCAAAGAGTAGTGGAATAAAAATACATTTTATTTTCACACCTTGAGTCTCTAGAAAGTATATATACAGCATCTTTATCATTATTCAATATCCTCACAGTTGATTTATATATATTTATATTTATAAAACTAATATAATATTGAGAACAAGTAGGCAGAGTACACCCCACCGAAGGGCTGACACTGTGTCACAGACTTTAGGACAAGGCCACTCAGAAACACACCCACCTGTTCTAGAATTATACACCGCATTCATAGCGCACAACATATAAGGGACGGAGCTAAAATGCATACAGTTATACTGATAATATACTTTTACTAGTATGTTATGATAATTATGCTTTAAAAGAAATTTAAGAAAAAGAAATAGTAAAAGAACATTTTGTTAACTTAGTTATTCAAAGTACTAGACGTTTTATAATACTAAAATTAATTGCGCTTAAAAATCTACATGTTCATACAATACTATTAGAACAAGGTAAATTAAATACAATTAAGTACAACTGTATCGTAACTTCATTTACATAAAATCTTGAAAAAGGTGAATACTTGCGAGTAAGATTTGCTATTGCTACTTTTTACGCAATTTATTGTGTACTGTTTCGCATGATTTAGACGCACATTCATCATCAAATATTTGCTTCATATAGGAAAAAATAACACGTATAAAAAGATATGAATTTTTGTTTCAAAAGGTTCAATTCACTCATACAATTTTCAAATCCATTTAATTAAGATTAAGAATTAAATCTTTTAACTTCTCTTAAATTGAATCTTATACATTTTTACATAGTTAAATAAATCCTATAATAAAAGGAATGTAAAAATACTTCTTCATATCATAATTTCTACTCTATTTTTAGTTAGTTCACAAAGAATATTCAAATATATGTTTTTTTCAGAAATTATGTATTACAAAACGATGTTTATCAATAATAATAATTTTAGATTTTGTGCATGATGCTTAAATTATTTAAAGTTTTATGTGAATTTAATTTTTTTATGAAAAGAAAATTTGTTAATAATTTTAAGTGATTTAATAAATGAACATGTATATATAAAATAATTTGACAACCAGAAATCAGCCCTCCAATGATATCATATACTCCAAATACATTCAAAACAGTATAAACACCACCCATAACAGACGTAAATATGGGGTATAGCAACGTACACGCTACATGTATATGTATTTATGTGTAACCCCCTTCTCACTTAAAAAAACTTTTCGTGAAAGAAGCAATGTTCCTCTATAAATTGTTGACATTTCAATTGTATCATAAACATATGTAGTAAAGAACCCCATTTTACATTCCTCGTAATAAGAATTTAATTACTTCTATGTCACTGTAATTATTTAATTATTTACAAGGCAATCGCGTCCGTTTATTACTTACAAATATAGTAGAAAAGATCAATTATTACAACGAGATTTAAGTGCTTGTCATTTATAATTGGGCAGCAACATTTTTAGGGGCAAACACCTTTTATCAGTATTATTAAGTGAGTTTAATAGTTTCTCTTATGCATCCTTTTTTTTCGTATGTATTTTTTATTTTAATTATTCTATACGAGAAATTATACGCTAAATCAGAAGCTGTAAGATTAGAAATCCAACAGATCAAATAACAGTGTTGCATGTAATATTGTTCTATCTGTCTATTATTCAGTTAGAGAAAATATTTACACATCTCACAATACATGCAGCATAGTACAAGAGAAATTTTACATTCCTTTCTTTCTTTCTTTGACATTTAATAATTTCATTATAATAATAAATTTTACTATTTTTGAAAGACTTCAAAATAAATATCGTACCATCTGCTCAACAAATGCCAATTTAAATCAATTATAAAACTATTTTATAATAGCTAAAAAATTATTTTATAATGGAAGTAACCAATTTATTAATAATACTTGTTTTAAAAATACTAAGAATGGTTGTTTATTGTATAAATTTTTAAATATTTAAAAGATATTTTATTATGTTATTATACTCAACAGTGTAAAATCAGAATTTAAAAACAATTTATACACAAGCATATTTGCAAAAATCATACTTACAAGAAATTACGTCCTCAGCTTTCTATAAATATAAAATATGGCTTGTGAGCAGATGAAAAATTTGCAGATGTATGTTAAAAAAAATGTAATTCATTATAGATTTGAATCTTATTAGATTCAATGATTATTTCTGACGAATTATTAGATTAATCAATCGGTAAGCGTTTTTGCCAAACGTGTCATTTTACCAATATATTTTCATTTTATCTGATGAAAAGATGAAATTGGGTTTCAGTCTATTTAAGACTCAATAATTATTTAGACAGGCATATGTACAATTGTCTTCCTTAATATATCTTGTCACTGCAATGTTAGGGAAGGAAAATTATTTACTTCCGTTTGTTCCAAAACTGGTCCTGTTGGTCCAGTGTAAGATATACGTAATCTCATTCTTAGAGGTACCTAAATTAGGAAAATATATGGGTGATCAATAATAAAGCAAAACACTTCTGTAAAAATTTTTTAAATAGAATACTGTCATATGAACTTACTTTGCTGATATTTGTAACTTTCAATACTTGAGTAACTTGTCCAGAAGGAGGAATGACTGTGCTTGATGGTGACAACATTTGTAGTTGGAATGTCTAAATAATAATACATAAAAAGTAATCCCCATGATTCTTTATATTTAATAACTGTAACACGAAATTGACTACTACCTTAGGAACTGCTGCTTGAAACAGAAAATCAGTCAATATAGCACTTCCAGAATTTTGCGCTGACATATTAATAATTAATAAATCAGCAATGTCTGGTGGTCTTTCCAATTTGAAGGTTATTTTAAGTCCTGCTTTATCCAATACAATCATAGAAAGTGTATCTAGAGTTATAAAATAAAATGAGATTTGTATAGTATTAGCAGTAAGAAATAAGTATTTGATTAAGTTGCACAAACCATTTTGAATTGATGATGAATTAAGCAAACCATCCACTAAAAAGTTTGTTGTGTTAGTGGGACTAAATATTTGTAATGGCGTTTGTGCCTGTGGCAGTGTAGATGTAGATGTAGGTGCACTTAAATCCAAACTACCAAGTAGATCCAAAAGATCATTATTGTTTACTGTATTTGTTGAATTAGAAGGTGGACTTTTATTTGATACAGAAGATGTCATTCCTAAGTCGGTGGTTCCAAGCAAATCTAGAAGTGCACTCTAGAAAAATATAAAAAATATTAAACTCTGTTGATTAAATATAAAAAGTTTCACATATTTTGCTGTGCAGGTTATTTCATTCAAATTATAATTCTTATAAACTGTTCGATACAAACTTACTGAATCAGATGGTGGAGTACTCGCTTCCAAAACTGAAGATTTATCTTCTTCTGGTTCTGGTTCACCATTTACCATACCAATAATTCCATTAGCTTGTGGTCTAGCAGTTTCCATAGGAGGCATTCTTTCAAGTAATGCAGGTCGTAAATGATCATATTTTCTGAACAACTGTGAAAATTCGATACCTCGTTGTTGCAATTCTATATGTAAATTGCTTCCAAATGTATCAATTATTTGACGAATTTTTCTGAAATATATATAAGGCTTATGTAAATAATTATTTAAATATGAAAATGAATGCAAAAAATAATATAATAGTACCAGTAATAATTAGATTTTTCAGCAATACTTACTCATTACCCTTCTGAAATCTTGTGCTAAGTTTTGTGAGAGATAATAATGTATATTGTTTCGTGACCACTGTATTTTGCGGACTCCAGAGTAACCTTTGATAAACATCAATAACTTCATCTTCTGTTAACTAATAATAAAAGAAAAAGATATACATATATTAATTATTTAATACTTTTTAACTATCTTAATTTTATCATAAAGAATAGAGGGTAAGCATATACAGATATACATAGTGTCTAACATACGTACATTGACAGGAGTATCTATATCTTCTGATGGTGGTCCATATAGTAATAAATCACCATATTCACCAATACACCATGTTGCAACTTGAGCCAAAGGTTGCTTATCGGATGTATCTTTTTCCAGTGCTCTCCACAATGCACTGACAGCATAGCTTTGCTGTGATTGGGTTTCTGAAATTAACTGAATGGTGCATGCTACTACGTCATCTCGAACATAATTACCAGCCTAGAAACAAGAAAATTACAATGATGAAGATTGAAAATAACTATAAATAGTGAAATATATGTAAAATTAATGTAATAAATTTCATACAGCAACAAGAACTTTGAATAACGTTTCAAGATGCCAACGTTTATTTGGCGCAAATCTTTCGGCAGACATTACTATGTTACTACTACATTGCGCTTTAAATTCTGGATCAGCACGTTCCAAAAAAAGTAATAACTCTTTCATCATGTTCCTAATATTGTTTGAATTTACAAGTGCAAAACTAAGCTCCATAGCTCGTCTTCTAATCGATACATCCGGGTCTTTTAGACACTCCTGAGAAACAAAAAATGAAAGAAATATTTAGTAATATAATAATATCAAATATAAAGATATGAAATAACATGATAAACATTACCAGGATTGTTGAGCGATGTCTTTGTACTGCACTTGTATCTACATAAACTGTTTTTAATAACGTATTCAAAGCAACATATCGGATGTTCTTATCGTTATTTAATAAAAATCGACCTAATATATTCACTGCTAACACTCTCAGTCCACTTTCAGATTTTATATCCATAATAGATAATACAGTTTCATATAATATAGTATTTCCAACATTTTTGCTAGTTTCTGTATTAGTTGCAACTTGCGCAAGTATATCGTTCATTGCTTCGGATGCATCGATATCATTACGTCCCAAAATTCGAAGGAGACGTAATATTTTTACTTGAAGGAACGGGTCAGATACTCCAGATACATCATGTTCTGGAGAATATCCAGCTAGTATTAAATTTTTTAAGATCCTCACAAGATTTGGCACAATCTGAAATAATAATTTTATTTTTATTGAATAATATATTATTTACACAATTTTAAGTAAACAAAGTTTAACCAAGAAATCTGTAAACATATACCAATAAACAAATTATAATAGAATGACAATGCATAGTTCCATTAAAAACTTTTATGAAGTTATCAAAAAGCAATATTTAATTCTAGATACAAAAATAAAGATATACATTGTTATATTTAAGAAACAGATATAAGCTGCTAAGAAAGATCACAAAGTAACATCAATTATATTACATTATTTGTGCACAAACAGATACACCTTAACATCCATAATATAAATAATATAACTAGAAAGATATTCAATAACTGTGCTTCATATAATTAAAATACATTTTTATACAAACATATGTTCAATAAAAAAGTAAAATATTAAAATGTTATTTATAAAAATTCAATTAATATTCAATATGCATTTATTGAAAGTATTTCATGTTATAGGTACCATAATTTTAAAATACATGCATGTGTTTTCATATTTCATTATTTTATATTGATTTTGTATTAGTAAAGCATTTAATATAAATAATCAAGTATCTTCAATAAAAATTACATAGAATAAAAGATAAAAATGATATCCACAATAAGCATAACATGCAAAAATATAAAAAATGCTCGTATGCTTTTTACCTCTCGATGGCCGCATTCCTAAAGAAGATAAAACCATACTTATATTATGAATATCACTATGAGCAAAGAATTATTAAACAATAACACTTATTTAAGATTATTAATCACATTTGAAACTTTTTTATGAAATATTTTATATATATTAAGACATTTGTGTTTTATCAACAGATACATTTATGTCCTTTGTCATAGCACTGTTATTAATAAAATATAAGTAAAATTATAGACTACACATTCTTTTTGGTAATCTTTTTTAGTAAATGTTCAGTTTGCTTCAATATAAAAATTTTTACTAGGAGTATGAGTTCAATGCTCTGGTTAACTGATAATGCTACTACGATCTAGCTTGCAGCTATTGAACTAGCAGACTAGATATGACAACATTAAAAAAACTTAAATTGAATTAAAAAAATAATGTATAATGTTCTTTGATGCAATGACAAAATGTTTGTAATACTAGTTACAAACAACTAAGTATTTTACTAGTTTTGATGTAGTATCCCTCTATCACTTATTAAAACATGTAAAATTTACCTTTTTAAAATGATTCAATGTATCAACACTATTTTCACACATTTCTGTAATAAGTGTGACACCTGTAATTAATACACCATGGTTTTTCTCTGTAATTAAACTACGAGTAGCAGGTAGAAACATTTCCATTAACTCTGGTACACGTCTAATAATTCTGAATGCACAAAGTGCTGCTTTTTTTCGAATATATGCATTTGCTGACTTCATTAGCCTTTCAACTTCAGATGCCAAATCCCTTGCCATTTCTGGTGATGCAATTGCACCCAAAGTACATAATGCCAAACCAATAACAAATTGTGTGGAGCTATTTAAATCACTGCAAGAGGAATTAAATGTTTAAAATATTAAAATACCCTATTATATATGCTTTTAAAAAATATTAAAATAATTTTAGCGAATTATTACTTTTTTAAACAATTTGTAATTAAAAGATGAACATCTTGTCGTTCATCTAGCAGTAACATTGCACCTAAGTAACCAATTCGTTTGTCTGTAAACCTTGGGGATGCAATAAGTTTTAGACATTCTAGTTGACCAAAATGAGCTGGATATCTACAAAATTAATAGAATTTTTATTTCTAATAAAAAAAAGAATATTAAATATACATTGTTGAACTTATTAGTGAATATAAAGAGAAAATTTAATACAAACCCAAGCATATGAATATATAAAAGTTTCGCAATATTGCGACATCTCCATACACTATCTTCTTCTCTGAATGTTGAACGAATATAAGCACATTCCTTGTTAACAACTGTCCTTTCTTCTGCTGCAGTTCTAGCAGCTCTTATTTGTCTGATGAGATCCCTCAATCGAGTTGGTGCAGGCATTCTAACTGTTGAGACTTTTAAATTATAACATGTTATCAAGTTTAATGTTAGTAGGATTTAATGAGTTAAATGCTCAAGTTATGAATAATAATCGCAGAAAATTATTTTGTATGTGAAATACAAGCAATGATATGGAGCAATATTTAATTCTACAGGAGGAAATTATATAATAGTAAAGTTTTATAACAATGATATTTTTAAAATTATTTATGTTCTATTCTTATATCACCCTTCCATTTATTTTAAAAAACATGATAAATATTTCAATGTTACTTATTTATTGAAAAATTAAATTATATTCATTACTAAAGATAATCAATTTAAAGTAGATCAATGGAGTTAATTATGACACCTATTTAATTAGAGTTTTAAGTTAATATTATAAAAACATGAGATATTTCTTAAGTTTGAGGCTTGTAATATATAGAATTAATAATAAGCATATAAATTACAAAATACTATAAGAACTAATACAAGTATTCATTATATATTTATTACAAATAAATATTGCACTCTCTTACCTCTTTCTACTGCTTCATTAAATGCTTGTTTTATGGAGGCCATATTAAAGGCTGGGTTAAACCTGCAATATACACACCCATGCTATTTACACACACAAACCATTTACATACCATTTTGTTTGTTGTGCAATGACACTCATGATACGATTCCAATTATTCTATACTTGCTTCAAATGAACAATGTTTTTTTTCAAGCAATATTACAAAAGACTATTGAAATAACATATTTTCTATCATTGCAATAACAAATTGTTCTTTCAATTAAAACTTAAGAATAACTGTATTAAAATTAGTATAGTATTAGAAAAAGATCTAAAAGATTAGCAGTAATTTACATTTAATAACATTTTCATATCTTTTCATTATATAAGGGGATACTGTTATGAATAATTAACTTAATGTTAGAAAATATATATTACCCGTGTTCTGAAGCATTCATGGTTCTCAATGATGTTCTCAATGATGTTCTCAAATGTATATGACGAACTTCAATAATACAAATGAAGTATAGATGAGTATGGAACACACAGTTTCCTTCCTATTGAGAAAAGGTCACATAATATTATGGACAATTGTAAAATATTATTTGCAAAAACTTTAAACAACTACAAGTATAAAATAAATAAAAATAAGTTGATGTTCTCTATCTTTCTTCTTGAAAAATTTTTAATCATTAATTTAATAAAACCATCATTATATAAAAATAGTACAAAATGAAAAATATATTAAAATTACAATATAACAATATACGACGTAAGAACCAATTAAAATTATATTTACATATCACGCAATATAAAAAGTAAACATATATATTGTTTTTGTATATATTATAATTGTTTAATTATCTTTCACAAAGGGGATAAACAAAAGTAATTATGAGCAATACTATTTCGAAAGTATTATATCTTGAAACAAATACAAATAAATTATTTGTAATATGATTTTAGTTTATCAGTAATTTGTTGCATACAATAAAAGCTTGAAAGTTTGTATATAAAAGACGAAAACAAATACAATATACAGGTTCTTTGTTGAATAGAGAACATAAACTTAATATTCTATTTTAAACGCGTTATAAAACGTGCATATAAATACAAAATAACCGGTTTCGCTGGCGAAATCTAAGTAGTCGATCAGAAGAGTGCAATGCATGCAATGGATATTACCTAGTTTTTGAATGTCATTCGACCAGAAATTCACGTGCTATAAAAACGCGTCGCGGTCGTACGCTCGTACAACTCGACAGCATATTGTAAAACGTGTAAACCGGTTATATAAAAGATCGTTCGCACTGAAGGGCATCGAACCAAGGGTTAGTTTTCTAGCTGTCAAACAGTACCAGTCAAGGACGTCGTTTTCAGCAAACTTGAGATCCGGAAATATCTAAACGACGTTTCACAGCGTACGTATGAGACGACACGAAGACGCCGTCGAATCTATCGTCGTCGTATCGCCCACCTTTTACACGTAACGTCGTATGACAAATACGGCGAGATATGCCTCGCCTCCTAGGGCGCGAGTTGTGCGCCCTCACTCACTTCTGCATAGTCTCTATTCTGCACCTGGTATATCGGCCTGTATCGGTTTACATATACGGTTTGCATTCCGAGTATTTCGCTCCTAATTTGACTTTATATCGTTGACAATACGTACCGTACGAAACGTTTGATTCACAGTAAAGGGTTAATCAACTGGGAAAAAAACCATGGACATAGTTAAACGTCCACAGTCGTTTAGCCTATCACACGACAAACACTCTTCACGATGGTCCGCGGTATTCGCACACCAAAAATCAAAATGGCTACCCATTTTCACTGACGTTGTTCCTGATAATACCGTGGCTTTTTGGTTAATGTTATCGTGACCATTTTCTACAATATACATTCCTTACAATTGAAACATCAGTGAACGGATGTAACAATTATTCTTTTCCGAAATTCCAATTGTTTCATTATACTTGTACCGTTAATTCCAACTCTCTTATTTACACTTTTGCTCAACGTAGTGAATAAAAATGATGTTCATTTCTAAAGCGCGAAATTTGTACTGTTTTGTTTAATCGAAAGTTTATGATCCATTTTTCCCCCTATGTTCCGATAAGATGTCTTTATTGAGAATTTTAGTGATGCATATTTTCTCATTGAAAATAGAATTTTTTCTTTCTCTCTCCCTCTCTCACTCTTATGATGAAATATTAATATATAATTTGAGCGTCATTGCACAATTTGTATTAAAAATAATAAAATTGTGACATACATATGTATATCTACAATATGTTAGCATATCTAATATAAAAATACTTATTTGGTATAGATTGCTATTAGATATTCATTAAATTAAATTACATAATTTTTTGTTATTTCATTTGTATCAAATAAATTTTTCAATGAAATATAATTTTGTAACATTTTTCATAGAAGTAATTCTAATAATATAATTATATACACTGTTAATGTTATGGAATAATTTATATCACATGCTTGTTACAAATAAACATTTATTATATATATATAAATAGTTTAAAGTGATAAATAGATATGTGATTATACATAATTTATATATATCTAGAACTAATTTTTGTATGAGATGTTAGAGATAACAAAATCGTCACCTTCTATTCAATTCTGGTGGTAAAACACTCCAATCTTCAGATTCGTAATATGTCCACATGGTGCACTAGAAGATTATTACAAACATTTAATACTGAAATTATAAATCGTATATTGTCTAGTACACAACTGAAGTAACAGTTTTGAAGACTTTTTATCACCAACATGACAGAAGGGGAAATAAGGTGTTAGCATTATCTCTTATCTCAACTACCTTGATATCAGTAATACAGATCAGTTAACAGAGTAATTGGGAAATTCATTAATTATACTAAATAAAGAATAAAAACTACTAAAATATCAATTGGTAATAATTATCATGTAACAATTGATAATAAAGCTGATATTAAAGTAGATTAAAAAGCAATAAATCAAATAATAATAAATAAAATGTAAAAGAGCTACCTTTTACAAATTAAAAAGAGATATTAATATTCTGTTATCGTAAATACAAATTGACAGAGTAAGTAATTCAATTAGTACAGATTACAAAACAAAGTTTATTAGTAAAAATGTAGTTTCTAATGTAAATGTACAGAATTTTTACATTAAAATACTGTTCATATATCAACTTATATGAAAGAAATCAGGAATGTCTTGTTAGGACAGACAATTGTCATTCTGATTACGAGGGGGCCGAACGTCATTGTTTCTCTTGACACAATCCACGAGCCAGTGAATTCCTTCATCTATGCCATCCCTTTTGTATTGTATAAATAATTATATGATATAATTGTTTTAAATAACTCATAAATTTCATAACATGCCCACCTTATCAATATAACATATTCAAAATTATACAGTATAATTTGATTGATAATTTATTATTTACATTAAAAATGTTTTATATTTTCATTAAATCTTATGTAATTATATGTATAAAAATAATATTTAAACTCAAATACTATTGATCAAAAAATTAGAAAATAATTACTATTTTAATTGTAATTTTAGTAAATCATTACAGAAATAAACAATTTACAACTAAAATAGAAAATTGACATGATATCATGTTATGAAGTATTTTTTTTACTTAACATAAGATTTGTTGCATTCAATTTAAAGTAATTATTCTTTTTAAGCAATTTTCTTTGTAATTCATATTTTATTCATTTATCAATTAGTCATTTATGTCATTACACTAGAAACTTAAAACAATTATATGTAACTCATAAAATCATATTAATATAAATAAGTACATAATACAATTTAATTTCAATAAAAGAAAACAAAATTAAAATAAATAAGTCTAAAAATTTACATACCCATTCAAAGCAGAAACAGGCATCACCATACAATCTCTTCTACCTATTAGGTGTGCATTTTGATTAAAAATTGGTTTTACTTCTCTAACACCCATACAATCAGGCACATCCTGCTTATTAGCTAGGACTAAAAGTGGTACACCTATTAAGTGTTCTGACGATATAACTCTATCTGTAATAAAATATAAATATTTATCCAATAAAAAATGTAATAATTCAATGTATATTCTATTTTTTTTAAACTTTACCAAAAGTTTCTTTAGATTCAGGTATCTTTTCTCGATCTGATGAATCAACTATGTAAATGACAGCATGTGATTCTGCATAATACTATAAACATAAAATATATATAATTTCTTGCAATAGAATAAATAGATATATATCAAATTATCAATTACCTTATCCCACAGTGATCGAAGTTCCTCTTGTCCACCAAGATCCCAGAAGTTAAAACGAACACCAGCTATATCAATTTTTCCAATATTTAAACCAACGGTTGTTGTAATTTTGCAAGGATTCATACCTTTGTAATTCTTTGTAAATTTTGTTTTCGCCGCCTCTAAATATGTCTATGGATTCAAAAACCATTTAGAAACGAATTTGTTTACTTAACCACAAATACACAGCTTTTTAATTCCTCACCGTTTTCCCTGCATTATCGAGGCCTAATATTAATATAAAATATTCATCTTTTTGCACAAGATACTTGTACAACCCATGTAAAAGTGTGTACATTTCAAAGCGCGATTAATTATCAAAAAATTTACATTTCATGTTGTTTACATATCATGTTCGAAAAAAATATATATGTATATATGGTCGTCCATGCAGATCATATATTCTATGTGCGTATTTTACATATATGTAGTATGAAGTCACAGTGAGATTAATAAAAACAAATATACTGAAATAATGTACGCATTACTAAGTGTATGTGATATAAATTACACAATATATATGTATGTATTTTTTACGTACAAACTATATATATTGTAAAATAGATATTTACAATTTTAATTATCTATTAACATATAACCTGAGAAAACATTATTATTTTATATTACTTCTTATTATATTCGCATTCAAATATTTATGCAGTGACTTCGTTAACTTTTTATGTTCTTATCTTATTTTTTATCTTCAAGTTGAAACTTTACTAGTTCAGCCAAATTAGCCCCAAAATGGCCCAAATTTTGCAAAAATCGTATCTGAAATTTTATTATGCGAATTTGTTAAAATCATATTCAGAAACAGATCCGATACGTCTGCCACTCAAAATTTCTTGCATAGATTCTGTAAACAATCTTCAAAGTTGCTGAAAACACATTTTTTGCATGTAACAATAAACGTAATAATCGATCCCCAAAAAGTTTACAATAAAAGTCGTAGATATTAAAAATATCTATCAAATGAGATATCGAACGTTAAGATTGGTTAGCTCGTTGAGCCGTAAGCAAATAAAAACCGTTCAAAAACGCACTTTTTTCAAATGTCAATTATTCATATAAAATTGAATATACGAAGTCGAAACTTTATATAAATGTAGCTTTTATTATCCTTAAAAAGTGTGCCATATTTCATTCCCAAATATTTATTAGTTTTTGCAAAAAGCTATTTGTCACATAAACACACAACTTCATAAAAGTTAATTTTTACAATTTTAAGAAATCACACAGCAAGTGGCAGAGGCTTTCTCCATTCTTGAAGAGTTGTACTATTATGTACAATTCGAAACTAAGCGACTTTTTAATTATAAACTATTAAAAAATAACGTCATATCATTATGTCATATCGTGACTTTGACAAATTCGCAAAGATATTTTCGACATTATATATTGTACTTCTACAATTTTGGATATGTTTGGGTTAAGTTCTGTAGCAAAGCATAAAAATGCAATGTCAACAAAATCAATAATTCGTGCGTTATTTCAGATTTTTTTATCAAATATTTCATTTTTTAATTTAATCATTGATTTCTTTAATGTTATATTTTAATAAGTTTTGACGTAGAGTGTTCCGCCAAATCGATATGTGTAAAAAAGATATATAGTTCTATTTCTCAGAAAAAACTATTTTAACTTTCATGTGTTCTCTATGCATTCTTTTATAAAAAAATAATCACATCAAATTATTTTTTCCTTGAAACCACCCAATTTTTATCCAAAATATTTTTCATTAAAATTATTACTTACGTAATAATTGATTTTATATTATTAGTACAATATTATTATAATATAAATAAAATATTTGTATTAATAATAAAAAATTGTTCTAATTAAAGTCATAATAATCTGCAAAATAACAACATTTATTTTATGAAAGATACATATATCTTGTACAAAAAACATAAATGAATTTTTATTTCATCGCAAAGCTACTTTTCTTTACTGTTCCTGTTTTAGATCAGCAATATTTAAGGAACATTAATGTAGAATAATCGCTAAAAAATTTTTAGGAGAAATGTGTTTAAAGGTATTTGTTTCCATAGTAATTTTTCTACCTACTTGTTCTCTGTTATGGCTAGTTCTTAGTAATATGTATTTGGTTCAAATACATTTAATGCAAAGCTTCCATAAGTGTTTTTTTTCAGAACTATTTTTTCTTGAAGCTATAGCAATTTCCTACATAGAAATACACAAAAATAAAATACAAATTACCATTTCATATTTCCAAATAGAATTTCATTCTGACTCCAGTAAAGTATAAACAATATCTGTTATGATTATCTAGATGACTGTCATTGTACATCATGTGTCTGTTGCTTTTGTGAGCCACATAGCTATTGTTGAGTCAATTGTGGCAATTGTTGCTGTGATTAAATGTAGAAGATCCATGTAAGAGATCAGAAACTGTTACAATTTTTTTAATTTTTACATTTGAACTATTTTTCAAAACTTAATCATTTCTGAGACATTTAAAATCACTGATTTCACTTGGAGATACTTTCTTATTATTGTGTACTATGTAATATGTAATACCAGAGAGGAAATGTAGTACTATATTGTGGTAACGTTACCAGACAGATGATTAACAACCACAACTTGTGATTATAGTTAGTGGATTACTGACGTCATGACTCATACTTAGTGTTGTATACAAGTTATATACAGTTTTAGAAACTCCCGTAGAAAGAGTAAGATTCTTAAAGCGTTTTAATCAAGTGGTTAGGATTTGTTGTGCAACGCCAATATGCAAATATAGCCCGGGTTCGTTTACCTCCGTCTCTTTCTCATTCAAGTGTTACTAATCGCCAGCCAATAGTTGCAATCACAGTAGTCAAGTTTTGTTTACGTTTACTGTCTCGTCTTGTTAGGGAGACTATATATGTACTTATTTTAAGTAAACGGTAAAAAATTATAAAAATTATGTCAGTTTAACCCAGTTGAGTAAACTCAGTAGTTTAGTTTATATTCTTTACTTTCAATCAGTTATTGTTTTCACTGCAAGATGGCGTTAAATGCAAAATCCTAATCACTTGAACCCAGCGTCTGTGGTGGCCGATTTATAAAACACAACTTCCAATGTTAAGACCTTTACCCCATCCACAAGAGTCTCCAGATTTGTGGATACGACCATGCTCACATTCATACTGTAGGCAAATAGAGGTAGGGGGATAACAATGGTTATAGATGCAACGCGAAGAAACATAAAACGAAATTCATGTGATATAAGCGAGTGGGATTAATACGACGTTATATTCTCTCAAGAGAGAAATTTTGTGATAACATCTTTATTTACACTGTGAACATATACAGATACGGTAATTCGAATTTTTCTCTTTTGGGAATTTCATGACAGCGCCGTTATGCGGCTAGTGAGAGGATTAAAATATATTAAAATGATGACATTCTCCACCACCAAAATTTCGACGAGTTGCCGAACCTATCGTATACATACTTATACTGTATAAGATCGTGATGATATTTCTATCCTGCATTGCAGGTCTCATACTGTGAATATAAACTTACTCCTTTCAATTCTATCAAAAAATGTCAGCAATGGTAAGTTTCAAATATGAAAGTGATTTAATACTTTGTTTTATTTATTTATTTTATATATTTTACGTAATAAATATACGTTGTATGTAATTGAACATATCTTTAAAAAGAATTTTGTGTCATCTCCTCCTTGCTCAATACTTCATCAATACCTAGGACTATGAAAGTGATATGCTGTCAATAAGTATGATTCACTTTTTTAATCGTAAAATTTACTTTTTTTCATAGAGGATGAAAGCAGTAAGGTGTCCTACTGATGAACTTAGTATTACAAATTGTGCTATAATCAATCCAGATGACTTCCCAGATGATGTCAGGTAAAGGTATCTTATTAATTTATTGATTTGTTACCTATAATAAGATTTAAAGCTTAAATGTCTATGTATACATATATGAATACATATATAGATTTTGATAAGACTTTAAATCAATTAAATTGAAATGTAATTTAATTTATCTTTTTATTTGTAATTGTTATATATCAATCTTATGTATAAGATATTGAGTACATATTGATAGATAATTCAAAATTTCAAATTTATATAAAATAAATGAAATAATTTAATATTACTATAATAAGATAAAAGAATAATACAATTTAATTTAATTTGTAATTTAGAGTTTTAGAGATAAGTTTAACATGGTTGTATTTTTTAGGCATATTGAAGTTACCACCGCACCAAATCATCATTTTGTATTTACTGTAAAACGGCATCATGAAGTACCTAGGGGAACTGTTGGATTTAGCTTACCTCAGAGAAAATGGGCCACTCTTTCCCTTAATCAGGAAATTGAAGTGCGACCATATCATTTTAATCCTACCTCAAGTACAGAATGTTTATGCACTATTGTCTTGGAAGCAGACTTTTTACAAAAAAAATCGTATGTACATTACATGAAAAATTTAAAAAAAATGGCACCCGTAAGAAAATTTATGATACAATTTATTTTAGGACTACTTTGGAACCATATAACACTGATGAAATGGCTAAAGATTTTTTATTACAATTTTCGGGGCAGGCATTCACCGTGGGTCAACAGCTGGTGTTTCAGTTCAAGGATAAAAAAATGCTCGGCCTTGTAGTTAAAAGTTTGGAAGCTGCTGATTTATCTGCTATAAGTTCTGGACAAAATACAGCACCTAAAAAGACTCAAATGGGACGTTGCTTGGGTGATACTGTTATACAGTTTGAAAAAGCAGAAAATTCAAGTTTAAACCTTGTTGGTAAAGCAAAGGGGAAAGTCGTTCGTCAATCAATTATCAATCCAGATTGGGACTTCCAAAAAATGGGAATTGGTGGTTTAGATAAAGAATTCAGTGCTATTTTTCGGAGAGCATTTGCGTCACGAGTTTTTCCACCAGAAATTGTTACTCAATTGGGCTGTAAACATGTGAAAGGAATTTTACTTTATGGCCCACCAGGTACAGGTAAAACGTTAATGGCACGGCAAATAGGGACTATGTTAAATGCTAGAGAACCTAAAATCGTCAATGGCCCTCAGATTTTGGATAAATATGTTGGAGAAAGTGAAGCTAATATTAGACGATTATTTGCTGATGCTGAAGAGGAGGAGAAGAGGGTATGAAGATATTTTCAACCTTCATTAGGTGTTTTATGCAAGTTATTACTAGTATACTAATAAATAAATATTTATTTTTAGCTTGGGCCAAATAGTGGATTACATATAATTATTTTTGACGAAATTGATGCTATTTGTAAATCTCGAGGTAGTGTTGCCGGAAATACAGGGGTTCACGATACTGTTGTAAATCAGTTGCTTGCAAAAATAGATGGTGTGGAGCAGCTAAATAATATTCTCGTTATTGGTATGACTAACAGAAGAGATATGATTGATGAAGCTTTATTACGACCTGGTAGATTAGAGGTATTCTTCTTAGTATCAAATATGCTTTAAAAATAATGTTCCAAAGACCATTTACTTAATTAAGTAAAATTTGTATACATACAGGTACAAATGGAAATTAGCTTACCTGATGAACATGGAAGATTTCAGATACTTAATATTCACACATCTAGAATGAGAGATTATAAGAAGATATCACCAGATGTTGATTTAAAAGAATTAGCCACATTAACTAAAAATTTCAGTGGTGCAGAATTGGAAGGTCTAGTTAGAGCTGCACAAAGTACTGCTATGAATAGATTAATCAAAGCTTCTAGTAAGGTAGAAGTAGATCCTGCTGCAATGGAAAAACTTATGGTTTCCAGGGCAGATTTTCTTCATGCTTTGGAAAATGATGTTAAACCCGTAAGTAATTTTTAATAAAATTCAAATGTTATTAACAGAAAGCTATAACTTTTATTTATATTTTATTATATATTTTTTATTAATATTTGCATCATTGTCTAATACACTTTATGTTATAGGCATTTGGTACAAGTGCAGAAGCATTAGATCATCTTCTTATACGTGGAATCATTAATTGGGGCAAACCAGTGGCAGAAATTTTGTCTGATGGTAATTTATATATTCAAGAGGCACGCTCTACGGAAGGTTCTGGTCTTGTATCAGTTTTGTTAGAAGGACCGCCGAATAGTGGAAAAACAGCACTTGCTGCTCAAATAGCTAAAAATTCTGATTTCCCATTTGTCAAAGTATGTACACCAGAAGATATGGTTGGTTTTACAGAATCTGCAAAATGTCTTTTAATTCGAAAGGTAAATATAAAATGAATATTTTCTAATTATAATATATTTAATAATATTTGGTATATATATATATTTTTTTTAGATATTTGACGATGCATATCGTTCACAACTTAGTTGCATTTTAGTTGATAATATCGAGCGTTTGCTAGATTATGGTTCCATTGGACCACGATATTCTAATTTGACTTTACAAGCGCTATTAGTTTTACTGAAGAAACAACCACCTCGTGGTCGCAAATTATTAGTACTTTGTACCACGAGTCGTAGGTAAAATACTTAATGTTAATACAATGATACTTAAAGATAATAATACAATATATATTTTTATTAATATAATTACCATACCCTTTCTAGACAAGTTTTAGACGATATGGAAATGTTGTCAGCATTTAGTACAACTCTTCATGTACCTAATTTATCTACTCCTGACCATCTCTTAAGCGTTTTAGAGGAAGTGGAACTATTTAGTAAAGATGAAATAGTATCTTTACATGCCAAACTTCTGGGAAAACGGTATGTCTTTATACTAAAAAATTATCAATATCGAAAGCATGATTTGTATATTTTTCTTTCAGAGTTTTTATTGGTATAAAGAAGTTGCTATGCTTAGTAGACATGGCACGTCAAGTGGAACCAAATTATAGAGTTTCAAAATTCTTATCAAAATTAGAAGAGGAAGGTGGTTTGGAGTAATAAGTATATAAAGCTGTAATTATTTGTGTAGAAATGAATTAGATGTGATTTACGGAAGAGTATATAATACGTATGTAACAAAGAAATTTGCATTTACATACATATGAAATCTATACCAGTCGAAAAGATTAGGTACAATTGTGTGAGGTATATATATCATAGGAATACTTAAGTAAAGCATTTTAATTATTTATAAATGTTATGCATATGCTTTATATAAAAATGATATTTTCTACTATTTTTTTAAATGATTCTGTTAAACATACAGTATTCATAATTTTTTAATTGTATTTTTTTTAATTACTTGATAACAACTTGCTTTAAAGTTCCAAAATAATTCCACTAATTTAAAAATATGTAAAATATACAATGTAAAAAGATGCAAATATAATAGCCAAGAAAAATGAAAATTTTTTTTAAATGATAATACAACTAAATATGTGCAATAGATTATTGCATAAATTTTTAATTTTTAATTTCTTGTGGAAACTAAAAGTTTATTTTACATTTAACGTAATATAATATATAATATCATTCATATATAATTTTATTATATATGAAATGGGCACTATGTGTTATATCTGTGCAGAAATGAAATTTACATGTATCTTTGCAAAAGATAGAGAGAAATGCTTCCTTTAGTTTTAATTTGTTATTATAGTCTACTGTAAAATCAGTTTATATTAGTAACATGTTTTCTAACAATGTTATAGCAATAAACATAATTGTTTACGTATTATCGAAATTTGTTACATGTATTATAAAAATATATTTGTATGCCTTCACTTGTATGTAATGTATATCCATACAACAATCTGCTATGTATTTATTATTACTTTACAGTTTGCTGTAATTCTAGTTGTAAATGTATGTATGTATGTATGTATGTATGCGCGTTAGTATTGATGTTTGTAGTATCTACAGTTAATGCCTTTTAGAGATAAACAAAACCATTCCAAGAAATATTTACTTTTTTGCAATTGATAAGAAATATATGAAAAGATGAATATTTTTTATTAATTAAAGTTGAAAACTAATTTGATTTTAGATAAATTCTAAATTAATTTTGAAATTATCGTGCATGTTATAAATAAGTAATTTATTTTGTGCAAGTTCTTTAAATAATTTGTTTCATGTTACTTTCTCTGTGTAGTAAAAATGTATTGAATAATTTCATTTAATTTGACATATGTATTTATATACAGTTAAATTGTCTACAAGAAAATCTGTATATCAATATTAAATACTAATAGTTATACTTGATAAATATGTAATGTGAATCATATCTGTGTTAATATATTGCAATAATAAATTTACGACATATGTAATATGTGTAAAAGTAAAATAAAATCTGATCGAGTATAGTGATTAAAAATGTTATTATCTATCTACATTTTACCTAATTAGTAATTTATACATAAAAAATAAAACATAATAATAATCATAATGTCGCTCACTTGATATTATTCTTATTTTGTTTTGATAGTTTGTATACAAATATGATTATATTACAATTAAAAATTACAAACTATGTAATTACATTAGTGTATATAATTGTGCAATAATTTTTAATTTTTATACTGATCGGTTTTTAAATATGCATACAGTATGTTATAATAATACAGCTTAAATTTTTCATGCAATTCTTCATCGCATTGGGCCTGTTTCGCGTTATATTTATTATTTTTATTTACAAATTTTATTTCATTTGTATTAATAATTAAAATTATGATGATATCTACTATTTAATTCAAATTATTTACGTTAGAAATATTAAAAATTATATTAAAAATCAATAGTAACAAATTATATTTGTTATAAAAACTATTTTATTCAAATTTTATTATAGCATGATAATTAAACATGTTAAAAGATCACTCCATTAATTTTAATAGTTCTTTTTAACCTTTTAGTTACAACTTTGTATTAATATTTGAGGAAAAAAGTTTACAATTGAAAAAAATATTGGGGGACATTATATACTACTGATATATAAAAATAGTACACATATATTTTCGTGTATATGTCCTTTTTTTGTTAAATTTACTATCAGTTTTGTTAATTTTATTTTGCATATTACTAAATTTGAAAAATATAAGTAAAATAACAAATATTCAATCAAAGGTAATTAACAAAGCAGTATCCAAACTTGATGTCATCAATATTCCCTATTTTCCCATAAAGTTATCATACACTTCTTATCTAATACCTCATATTCTTTAAAGTAACACATACAATAAATTTTACAATAAACAGTTTTTAACCAGAAAAGCAAGATTTGATTATCACATAAACTTGATATGAACTCCTACTTCTTAATTATTATTTCGTTCATTCTTTACGTAACTAAAAATAATTATAATTCTTTGTTGTTTATAATATGTACAATCATAAAAAGTATAACCATTTTCCATGTGCTTTCAGTGCTTGGCAGTATTTAGGCACCTTAATTCCGTCAAGGAAAGAGAGAAAGAGAATAATTTATGATTTTATTTTTGTATAAATTGCGCAGGCGAAATAAGCATATTTAAAATAACATCGATATCGATATCGTTGATCTTCGCTTATTCTAAAAAGAATATTTCTTATTCCTGCAATAAAATTTTTGTTAATATTTCTTTCTTGAAATAAATAATTCTATTGTGGAAGCGTATTAGATACATAATATATCTAAACGTCGAAATGGTCGTATATCTTTTAACTGTTACATTTACAATTCGTACTTGAAATATATGTATGTATGTGTTCCTGTACAAAGATTTTATACACGCCAAATTTATTACACCCCATTGGCAATACTTGGTGTAATATTTAAAGCATGAATATGGAATATTTAGTACAAAATTTAAAAGTAGACATATAAATCAACAATGTTGCATTTATCCTTAATGATACTCAAGTACGCTTTAATAATATCTATTATAAGTATGTGTGAAACAATCCTCAATATTCTTGTATTATAGAAGAATCGATGTTTTATATTAAGTCATGTTACAAGAATTGCGTTAAGTGTTCATAAGTCATCTCACGATGATAATACTATAATATATATGCAGTCTACAAACACAGATCATATTTTCTAAATAACAATTATATATAAAATATTTTTAACATGTACATATATTGGAGGAAAGTTTCAATGTCGATTTAAAACAATATTTGTGACATATGTTTGATATTAGTCAGCACCAAATATTCTCTTTGTATGCTCGAATAACCTTATCCCCCATTATAACATCGGTCATAAAGTTTTTATATTACAAATAGTTTGTTGATGCATTATATAAATAAGCTTGTTTAATAAACAAAAGTTTCTGCTTTCCACTGAAAAGATAAAAACGAGTACAAACTCTTACAACGTCAAAGTTAGTAAAAAAACTCACACATATTCCTTTCAGATTAACACGCTTTTTTTAATTTATAATATGTGAGAGTAATAGAATAATAGTAAAATGATGATTGTGAAAAGGATACTAAAAATAATTTTATAATTTTCTCTGTGTTGCCTTTTAAATCTTTTTATCGCCTAAGTTAATAAAAAAAAAAAGAAAGAAATTGTACAAAAAAGACGTTTAACAACAGATATCCTTAATAATTGTAACTTCATTATGGCACATGAAAGAAAATCACTTTATTTGGATGTCGAGTCACTAACCTCATAATTAATAGATCATAATGAATTATCTACTATGACTATTTAATATTAATATCACAAATGTTTACATTTTCAATGTTTTTGAATTAGTTCAAATTTCATACTCAATTCGAGCTGTAGCTGGGTCGTTATTCTAGCACGGTTCAGCATTTATTAAATTTTCAGTCATCTCCATTGCAGAGAAACTTTGTATCTGACATAGTCAGGAAAATATATAATAAAAGATAAGCATGGTAATGAGTCAAATCACGATGGCTTACAAGACGGAAATTTCTTAACGTTAATACACGAAATTGGTTTGCGCCATCGCCGTTTACTTTGATGTGAATTTGGTTTGCTGTTGTGACTATTCCAAGTAGTTTTTTGGTCTTCACTAATTTTGTCCATTTCTTGAAGCCGTTTTTCTTCTGGACAAAAAAAAGACAAACTTATTTAGTAGTTGTTTATAAATTTATATTATGAGGGTTAATTTTATTTTTTTTTTAATGTATATAATATAATAACTATAGTTAATCGTGCAATATACAAAACAAGTCATCATTGCAATAGTTATAATATTACTACACACAGTTTAAAATATGCATGACACATTGCAAAAGCTAATACATAGAACTATTCGAAAACATTGTTGAGTTAAAGATTTTAATTCCATAATTAATTTATATATAACTTTAGATGTTACAAAAGGCATAGGGGCAAAACAGGGTATACACTATATAGAGAGTACCCGTTTTTGTCAGCTCGCAACATCATAGGTAGATATAAGCGTGTCATTGTTACAGAATGGTGCATGTCTTTGATAAGAATACTAGTAGTCGATTTGAAAAAGATTGTTCAGTATTCCGTTTAGAATCTGAAAAGCAAAAGCTGTATTTTATTCAAGTGTTTATGTACTTTTATTATAATTATAATTTGTATAAATATATATTCTCTTTAATGATAATTGTTTTCTAATAATGTATATAAAGAAGATAGATAAGATTTTGACCAACTTTTAATAACAATTTCCTTTGTCTTCAATTTAAAATAATCTATACAAATTATGCAAGACATCTTAATTTATAAATAAATATGTACAAATACTACGCTAATTCTGTTAAAATACAGTTATAGAATGTTTGTATTAGATAAAATTATTAATTCAATTATAAAATAATATAATTAACAAATCGTTGCATAAATGCTACTTGTGAACTGTAATGTATTATACCACAAATGTACTAACATCTAGTTTGTATATTTCTTATTGGTGTCTTTATACATGCAGATTTTATCTTACCTTTCTGTTAGTTGTGAGAATACAAATTAATATCAAATATTATCGCAACAAAAATTTAAGCTTTAATACATAAATACAATAACACATAGCACAATGCAAAAAATCTAACTAAAAAGAAAAAAGAATAAAAATACATACCATTTAGCTGATGTTCGGTATAATACGTAGGATTGTCGTCACCTCCGTAATGATACTCCATCAGGTACGGTAGTACGGTCATGCTGTGCCATTTATGTCCTTTAAGAGGAGGTATAGGCACTTCTTCTTGCGTTTTAGGATGCCTGCATATAGTCCATGGGTGTTTTTTAACTTGTTGCAAAGTAAATCTTTTATCTGCGTCTTTCTGCAGCATTCCTTGTATAAGAGATTTTAGTGGCTCTTCTACTTCTTCAGGTATAGTATATTCACCTTTTCCTATATTTTCATATAATTTATAAATATTATCGCCTTGAAAAGGATATTGACCTGTAGTTATATTGTACCTATAAAATATTTATAATCTTATTAAAAAGTGTTTGCTAAATCCCCTTATATTATATTTTATGAAAAATAGAATTTGATTTGTAAATATAACTTATTTTAACACAACAAGTAAATAAATATAACTTATAGAAAAGTATACTTACAATGTAACTCCACTGCTCCATATATCTACTTTAAAACCAGAAAATGTTTCACAGCCATTTGCAATTTCAGGAGGCTGAAATGCTGGTGATCCTTGTCCCATTTTACATGTATCATCTTCAGAAAACATATCTAATGCCTAATAAAAACGTAAAAAATTGTACAATGTAATCTTTTAGTTTATGATCTATTCTATTAATACAAACTTTAACTTTATTAATTTGGAACACTTGAATTTAAATATTACATTAGTATAATAAAAAAAAAATAAGTTAAATATATACCTCTGCAACTCCAAAATCACTAATCTTCAATGTGCCATCTAATGCTAATAATAAATTCCCTGGTTTTATATCTTTATGTACTATCCCTTTGCTGTAGAGGTATTCTAAACCATCCAGTAACTGACAGAAATAGTCATGTGCTTGCCAAATTGGAAGCTTCTTAAGAGGTGTGCTTCCCAACATATCCTGCAAAAAATCTAATAAATAGAAATCTAATTGTTGTTAATTCCATGCAGGTTTTTATTATACATAAAATTTACATAAAATAACAGATTTTAAAGTGTAAAAAGCTATTGTACTAAATTACAAAAATTATATCATATGGAGTTAATTAGATTAAAATATTAATTTTGTTATATATACTGTCTATTGATACATATTACATTAAAAAATTAATTTTAAAACTATATCTTTTACTCTTATACTGAATATATAAGATAAATCAGTTTTAAATATTGTTATAATATATAGTAAAAAATTTTTCAAATGTTTATAAAAGCACTACAAATATATAGAAATGTTGAATTAATTATCACACAGATTGCACTAAAACTTTAAACACAATCAAACATCAATGTATAGAGGCATATGTGTATAACACATTCTAAAATAAACCATGTAAGGCTTTTGAACTTTACCTGTAATCCACATACACAAAATTCCATAACTAGGTACATCTTCTCCTTTTCATCATTATATAAAACATCTACAAGGTTAATTACATTCTTATGTTTTAATATCCTTAATAGTCTTATTTCCCTGTTAATGAATGTGAATAAATAGTATTTAGAATTCTAGAAAGTAATCATATATATGTCTTAAAAGATATATATTACTTTTATGTATCAACGTAGCCTTCTTTTCTAAGATATTGTATAAATTATAAATTGTCAGTAAATATTTATGATTTCTAACATTGTGTTTTTTAAATAAACTACATTAAGAATAATAATACACACATAAATTTTAATTTTATTGTATATACTAAAATAATTGTTATAAGTTTTATAATGTTATGTAATGTTACATTAAACTTTTAACGATTCTAATAATGTAAATGTTTACATTACGTGTATTATTCTATTTTGTACATTCATTCTTGTTGGATTAATATGAATATCATACGAGTAAATATTGCTCTTTCTTTGCGTTTTGTACAAATAATAAAAAATAAGATTTAATATAACAAAAATCATGTGGTATCATATCTACAAAATTCAACAGATTGACTGCATAGTATTAGCAATTAAAAATTGTTTTAATCGATTTTATTTCATGAATAAATAAGATATAAAGGAAATATTAAAATTTTTTAATCGTACCGTTGAACGTTAAGCTCTCCATTTGGGATTCTACGAAGTTTCTTCCTTTTCAAGATTTTCACGGCTCTTCGACAAAGTGTCTCTGAGTCCAACACTTCTTTCACCTTTCCGTAACTACCTTCACCAAGAACATCACCCATAACATATTTACCGATAAATTTACATTTTTTCTTTTTTTCTTCGTATATAATCTGATCTGAATCCACCCTATGGAAGAACATGTTGATCTCATCCAAATCATAGTTCGGATCATCATTGATCCACGTGACTGGCTCGATATCCCGAAATATTTCATTGTTAATTTCTTCTTCGTCTGGGTCACATATTGTGATCCTATTGTCCATTTTTCACAATGCTAATTGGACTAAAGTTACTGAAAACCACGCAACTTTAACCTAAAACACGACCGGCACCACCATTGTTGTGAATTACAGCTGTGTGTTCCACCACGGCTTGTGATAATAAAGGACACGATCGTCATCCCAGTTTCGGAACAGCATGTACTTACATACTAACTATACTAGCGCTTAAATTCGAAATATTACTTTCGCATCTGAAAATATACAGTGGCTAAAAGAAATATTAACACATGTTCTTATTTTCCAATGAAGCGTTTTTTAATCGAGTTCTACATTTTGTTTTCATAGTATTAAATTTTTGTAACCATATGAAAATATGTACTATTAAATGGTACGAAATTTTATATACTTGGATTAGATTAATTAGTGTGTAGGTACTATAATCAGGTACTAAATACTGGGGTATATCAATACTTTTTGTAACCTCTGTACAAGTATGTATATTGAATTGTATTATATTTTGTGTTTATACAAATTTTCTTTTTGCTTGTTTATACAGGTATTCTATTCTTTCACTTTAACATATTGACTACCATATGAATTTTATATGTATATTTTGTCTTGGGAGCCGTAATAGATTTAAATACATATGTATTTAATTTTATATATATAATTTTTGCAAAATATTTTTAGTATATCTACGCACTTTTGTCTGACATCTAAGTCATTCATATTGTTAAATATTTCTTAATCCATGAAATTTATCTTACTTTAATTATACCAAAAAGCAATGTGAGTTATTGATGACACACTATAGTTGTCAACGGATCAAAGCAAAAGTACTGAAAGATACGAAAAAATTTTAATTTAATGTTAGCAACTTAGACTAGTAAAAAGAAATGTATTGCATAAAGATATATATATTTGTATGTCAGATGTTATATTTATTTAGATATTCTTATAGTATTCTTATAAATAAATGGATTGATATAACAACAATTTTTTAAAATTATTTCAATCTATCCTTATAAAATAACGTATATTTTGATAAGAATCAGATAATTTACGGTCCCAAAATCTCATGAGTATAAAGAACTTCCTACTATGATTTCTTAAAATATTTTATATAAAAATTAAAAATATAGATTTTAATAGATGAAATAAATTAATTGTAGTATGTTATATTATTAATCAGGTACTGCTATGTTACAATATGAAATATATTTCTTAAAACATATCTTTTATAGTATAAACAATAGAATAAAACTTTAAAAGTATAATACAAAAAAGTTTTATAGTATAATCAATATGGAGCAATAAAAAAGTCCTTTAATTTATTTTTTATATTCAAAGTTCCATTTACTAATAAATAACATTTATGAAGTTTCATTGGAAAATGAAAACTTGATAGAAATGTTTTTTGCGTTATTTTATATAACTCTGTGTCTTACTTTTTTATCTTTAAATTTATACAAATATATAATAATATGATATGCCCTTTCTACAATTATGTACAGTACATAAAAGTATATCTCTTGATTATTATTGAAACAGGTGTCTGAATTGACGAACTTTCCAGTTGTCACTTCATGATTTTATATAAAAATCATGGAATATATTAAAATATTATACCTTTTAATGAGAGGGACATTTTATATTACACATAGTGAAAAAAAGATGAATTTTTTGTATGATATTTTGTCAATGATGATGACCAGTCGTAATTAATGCAGGTAAAAGGGAGCCCAATACTAAAACTAATATTTCTTTAACTTTTAGTCCAGAAGAAGACACTGCAACATTTTCGGCAGTTGGTAGATGTGTATAGTTGCCACTATTTCTTGTCATTAGTTCTGGTAAAACATGTACTGTTGCAACATATAGGAATGTACCTGCACTAAATAACATTGCTACTCCAGTTGCATTAACATTACTAAGTGTTTCTTTCCCTTCCTAAAAATATATATAAGTATATCAATTTTATATTAATGTTCTGAGAATATATATTAAGGATTCATTTCATTATTTAATCTTAAAACAATTTACCTTCCCAATACCAAAATATGTTACAAGAGCAAGACAAGGTGCAGCTAAAGAAAATACTAAAAGATGTCTACCAATTTTTTTTCTATCTACTCCCTCATGTAGTAAAAATGATACCAGACCAAATGCAGCAGGTGCCTGTAAAAAATACCTGAGTTATTTATTTAACACTTACTACATATATTTTTAACATTCTTCTTCTTAGATACGGAAAACTACTTAATTTATTTTGTTTACCTTATGTAACATTATTGCTAAAAAAACAATTAATTCTACATCAGCCTGTGATGTAGTTGCAGCAGCTCCTAATGCTACTCCATCAGCTGCTGCATGAACTACGAGACCTAAGGTGGCAGTGACACTCCTTTCTCTTACTCCACTTCTTCTAGCTGAACATTGATCAATCAGTAGCATAAATACAAAACCAAGTATTAAACTAATACCTATTAAGGAGTGAGGATCACCTAAAAAGTGGAGGTCAAAAATATTAAGTTTTACTGAAATAATATCAAATTACATCTAAAGGGATTTCAAGTATTTTAATTGGCTGTATATATAGTTTTTTATATAAAACTAAAATACAAAATATGAAAAATATTTCTGTTCATTACAAATATAAATATTAATATCTTATATTATAAAAAAGATACAAAATATGTATGTTTATCATATATAAAAAACTATTTCATTATAAATATTATAGTGAAATACTAACTGTGAACTCCTTGATCACTATTGCTTCCATCAGTAAACAATGCTCTTATACCTTCAGGTATAATCACAGCTAGCGCAGTGCCTACAAGAAGTCCAGCACCAAGTATCGAAACCAGTTGTAATTTATCCTAGAAAGATTAAAGGTTCATGATGTTCATGATCATGGGGTTCTTTGTAGAATCTGTAATCAGTAGTTTAAGTATATGACAATCACAGAAAATGATAGATAAAAAAATTGTTCTTTTCATCTATCGTCAAATGAAAAGGACATTACCTCAGATAAATTCATGACTAATGGCAAGGATCCAGCTATACAGGAACCGACTAACATTACCAGTGAAAGCATCCATAGTATTGTACTTTCTTCCATTTTCTAAGATGTATTTTTTGAATAAATGAAAGATATTTACTTCATCGAATTAATACTTTCCCATTGCCATTTAATATTAAGTTATCAGTTCTATTGTACCTGTTAAAACAATTCAATTTTTTTTCTATAACATTCTAACTAAAATATCATTTCTGACAGCGTTTAACAATCTGTTTTCGTCTACGTAGCAGTTTCGCGGTGAATACTGTGATTATAGCAACGACATAGAAGTGGAGAAGTTAGATGAAAATAGAATATGTCATAATGAAAAGTTTTCATCGAAGATTCATTTTGCTGAAAATATTAATATTTAATATATTTCTGTCATATTTGAGAAACTACTTAAAAGTAAAATGAATGCTTAATGAAAAATCTATTAGTTTATTTAAGAAACAAGTGACAGTTTTTTATGTTTCATATATGTAAAGATGTTTTACATGTATGTATACAAACTAAGGATGATACATTCAATGCTCTGTGAACTTAAAAAAAAGGATCAACGAACTCAAATCTATATATTTCTATTTATTAATTTTCATGAATAATATTTACTTGCATAGATGGCGTATAAGGATTTATCTCATAACTACGTAAAAAAAGTAAACAAACAATGCATATAATCAATAACTATAGATAATTCATGAACCCTTCTTACAGATTTCATTTATTCTATCCTATAAATCATTTTTATACGAAACATCGTTTTAGGATTTTTTTTTCGCAATTGATAATAATACTTGATTTCTTTTGATTTTTTAATTTGAATTATTTTACTAGATGGCAGAAGTGTCGATTAGCCGTAGCACCCCTAGCGGAAATATTAATGTACTAAACAGTAAATGATTGGTAACGAGTTGAGCGAGACAAGTGATTAAAAAATGGCATCCGCGACGACGTCGCACAATGAAGTTTCGCAAGAATTTTCTGTCAACAAACTTATTCGTGTCGGTTATTACGAATTGGAAAAGACTATTGGCAAGGGAAATTTTGCCGTTGTTAAAATGGCCACCCACGTTGTGACTAAATCGAAGGTAAGTCCATTGTTAACGCATTTTTCTCACAAACACGAACACCCGTCATTTTGTCGTTATATCTTTGGATAACGGCATAGACATATAAATTATATCATATTTTACGTATCATAAAAGCTTTCTATGTAATAACAATGTGTCAAAACACGAAGAGAGCTAATAACTTGAAAGAATGTTTCGCGAACCTATGTTACCAACAGATACTATTACATCGATTGAAATATGTTCGTTGGATGTTTTTTCAAATCATTATTAATGATAATAGATTGGATATCATTGAAAAGTAAAAATAAAAATACCGTCAATTAATGTTCATATAGAAATTTATTGATTCGATATGTATTGATTCTATATGATCCTATGCATGTAGTATTTTTTTTTAATTTGCATTCATTTGTCTTGTTTTTCCTCTTTGTATGTTTTCCTGTTTTCATGTAGTAATTATATCAAATATATTACATTACTACAATTTTATATATTAATTTTCTGGTACTGCAATGCAATTAATTTTTATAATTAAATACGAATTATATAAAAATTACATCTCTTTTTTAATGATCTTTTATGATGATGAAAAATTTGTAAACATTTTGTGTTAATAGATGATATATATTACTAATGATCATGTTGTGTTTTAAGTTTTTTAAAATAACAAAATATCAAATTAAACTGAATACATTAGAAGTTACTTGTTTGTGATATTTCTTAACAGTCATAAATTCGTAATATGTATATTTCTATTATAGGTTGCTATCAAAATAATAGATAAAACAAAATTAAATGAAGAAAATCTAGCAAAAATTTTTCGTGAAGTACATATAATGAAACGATTAAGGCATCCACATATTATAAGATTGTACCAAGTAATGGAAACAGAGAAAATGATA